TGCCAATCGAATTATTATTTATTATGATATCTAGGTAAAATTTTTTTTTTACTCGAGATTTTTCGATGTCCAACAGTCACTTTAAACTTTAATTAATTCGTAATCCAATCGAATTAAATTTCATAAAAAGAGCAAATGCTTTCAAATTTATTTTTTTTATTCACAAAACATAAAATTAAAACCTTATTTAAGGAAAACCGAACTTCTTACTGTTGAGATTAATAGGTATTGATTTAAATAAATATTTTCTCCTGGAGTAGGGTATTTAATCCAGTGTTGTCACTTGCGAGAATGAAAATTTGTTTTTATTATTATCTTAATTGTTATTTGATTAATATTAAAGAATAGAAGTATAGGATTTCATCACAGTTTTTGTTGAAATTGGATTTAGAGTAACCATTGAATAATAAATTCACTTAGTTTTATTTTACTTTGTTGGATACTGGCATGAGAAATGCACAAATCCAGATAGAGAATTGCTTAGAAGTAAAACAAAAAGCAGCAAAACGCATAACTGCTACAGGATAGGCTAGGTGAAGAGTGAGCTGACAACAATAACTAGAATCTAGTTATTTTTGAAACTGGTTTTACAAAGCAATATTTCCTAATAATAAGAAAATCACTGTTAGTAATGGTAAAATGTTATGCAGAAAACACATACTTAAGCATTACCTAACCATTTCATTCTACATAAGCCTAAATGGATTAACAGAGAGTGCCTTGTAAGTTCCCAAGTAGAATTGTTATTAGGAGATAAATCAAGAACTGCTTTATTTTTACAAATCAAACAAAATTAGAATTTCGAAAAGAAAAATTACATTCCAAAATGTATTTTTGAATTATTGTATTACTTTTCAAAAATGTATTTTCAATACATTAAGAAAGTTTTAGAAAATTAATTTTCGGTAACTTTTGTTTACTTTCAAAAATCAATTTCTAATTAATAACTTGGTTTTCCAAAAATAAATTTCCGGCTACATTAACGTTTTTTCAAAAATTCATTTTCGATTAAATTTATCTGAAAAAATATAAAAAATAAATTTATACGAATATAATACGAAATAGGACATGAAGCTCATGCAACTTAAAGTTTTAGCGATAATTATATCTAGGTTTAATAGAATAAAAAAAACTTATATTTTCGTGTCGACATTAATTATGACATGTAATTTTCGTGTAAAACACGATATAAATACATATCTAAGTTTAGTTTAATATATGGAAGGATTAGTATAAGATAATTTATTTATTTATCAAAATTATCCTTTCTTAAAATTTATATAATTTAAATTATTGATATAATTTTTAAGAATATAATTAGACATGTAAGTTCAATCTCATTGATTAAAAGTGATCCTCTCTACTTAGAGAGGATTGAATAATCCTATGCGAATAAAATATTAATCATCCTTACAATCCATATCATTTTCTTTAGATATAAATCAACATAATATAAGATAATTATGATCCTATCTTATTAATAATCTTATGCATCAAACGTGACTTCTGTGTATTAATAGATAATGAGTTAGTGGTTACACTCTTTGCTTCCTAAGGCTGCATTTGGATATGATTGAAATCCGTTTCAATGAAGGGTGAAAAAAAAACTCAAAAAATTCAACAACCTCGAGTTCGAAATTGTAGTATTCAGTTCATTCAAATTGAATTTTTATGTTTATTCGGATGTTCGGACTCAAATTCAGATACTTAAATATATAAATTAGATTCGGATCAGAATTCGATTGAGATATGAAAAATAGAAAAAAATCGAACTGAATCGAATTATATATATTTTTTAGTTTTTATATATTTTTTAAATTTTTATAAAATAAAATTAATAATTTTATATCAAAATCTACTTAAATACATTAAATTTTTATATTAAAATAATATTTAAAAATTTAAATTTTAAAAATTAAAAAATTAAAAATCGATAAATCAAACCAATAAATTTGATTTGGTTAGATTAGAATCAAATGAAAAATTGGTTCGAATTCAAATCCAATAAAGATTCGATTTAAATTCAAATCGAATTTTAAATTTTATAATATTATATAATATAAAAAAAATCAACTAAATTTTATCCGAATCGAATCCTTATCACTCAGCGCGTTTATCCTATTTTTTTTATGTAAATTGCACCGCAATAAGTTGTTTGAATGCCATGCCATCAATGTGAATGAACAAAAAAGATTCCATCCTGCTTAGTATTTTCACTAGAAGGAAGGAGTATGATGAGAGTTTTCATTCTCATTGAAGTCCCATTTTTCATAAAAGACCATGCTTTAATTTTGTTATTATTATTTTGATATAAAAATAATATTATTAAATTTCAATTATTTGTTAATTTTATAAATATTAAATATATTATAAAATTTATTATATATCAATTTTAATTTAACGTCCATAATGATTTTTTTTAATTATATTTTATCTTATCGTCATATTTTCATTTAAATATATATTTTTTTATTAATTTTAATCTCAAAGTTGTAATATCTAATTTTATCACTGTAATAACAAATTTCATTATCACCATTATTTTTAATTTTATTAAAATCAATATCACTATCTATATTTAAAAAAATAAAAATTACACGATTTAAAATTTTAACAAAAAATATATAAAAATTTAATAAAAATAAAAAATATATATTTTGCATTGACTATCAATATAAATTTTTAAAAAATTTTATATTTAACATATAATATAAAATAAATAAATATAAATATACAACTTATCATTATACAAAGAGTGATGGTATAAACTAAAGTCAAGCAGTAATCAATAAAACGATTGAAATGAATCTAAAATTTGGATTCTTGCATTGGAATTTTGTCAAATTATTGTTTTAATTTTGAAGTGAACTTGTTGACCAAGTTTTAGCCGACCCCATTATCCCAACAACTTCGTAGTTTCGTTATGTATTGTTTGTTCCCTGGTATCTGCAACAGGTACTTGATGCAGACAGCTCGAGGACAGAAGCCTCGCCAATAAGGAGCACTTACTGTCAACTATGAGCAAAGAAACTATAAGCTGGATTGTTTGTTTGTGCTCAAAATTTTGATAATTTGTGGTGTTATATCTAGAGGTGTAAACGAGTTGAGTCGAGTCGAATAATGAAAAATTCGAGTTCGAGTTCGACTCACAATTCGAAGCTCGATAATCGGTTCGAGCTTAATCGAATTTTATTTTTCAAGTTCGAGCTCGATTCGTAATCGAATTCGAACTACTTGAGCTCGCTCGATTAAGTTCGATTAATATGTAAAAATAAACTCAATTCGTATACTCGATAAGAGTTTGATTATTCATGTTCAAATTCGAACTCGAATTCGGACTCGAAATATTTTATTAATTAAAATAATAAAAATATATTTAAATATAAAAACTCGATTAGGCTCGTGAACTACTCAAATCGAATATAAAAATACTCGAATTCGACTGGATCGATAAGTCGAACTACTCGAACTCGAATTCGACTCGAAATAATCGAACCGAATTCGAATTTTCTTCGAATCAAACCCGAATAACTTACAAGTACTAATGTATCATTTACACCCCTAATTCTATCGCATAAAATATTATATTTATATTATAATTTTTATGAAAATAATATATTATTTATATGGATAAAAAATATAAAATATAATTTTAAATTTTATTAATTTTATTTATAATTTTTAAAAAATTTTAAATTATATTATATTTTTATCTTTTGTTTGTATTATTTTCATATCATATTCTCACATTCATCTTCCTAATATCCAATCCCATTAAATTTTGTTGAAAACGTTCTTTAACCCATTTTAATATCTGATAAAAATGATTTTTAGGGTTTTTGTTTGCTTCTTTGTTCATAACATTTTCCTCTGCAGTTCTTTAAAATATGCTCCTATCACGTCAAGCATTCCAAAAAAAGTTAAGCACATATCATACAGGAAAAGAAAGATCTTTACACGTATAAGCATAACCGTTACACACATCAATGAATCCGGTTTTGGCCTCCAAGGAGGTAATGACCACGTGACATTCCAACTAGGTTATTAACCATAACTCGCATTGCCGCTAGCAGGGGTAACCATCTAAAAACTGCTAGTATCATTGTAACAATCCCAGTTGAGTTCACAAAATAATTTCAAAAGGATGTGAATACGAGCATATTCGGTATAATAACAGCATAATTCATGAAAGGCAATCTTTCCTGGAAGGAAAGTTCCATAAAATGTACAGAGAATTCATCTAAAAAACAGCAAAATAATAAATGCTAGCAATAAATCTTAATTCCATGCCATCCAGATACATTTACCCAACAAGCCAATTGTTAGATCAATATGGGTGGTTCTCAAGACATGTAAGATGACCAAGCAAGGGCAAGTGCCTTTTGACGCTTCCCGACCATTACACTATGAAATCAAAGATACAAGAGAGACGAATTCGAGGGCTACCCGGCCCTTGGATCTTGTGTTGATAACAAAGTGTTCAGGATTTTTTCTTAACAACATAAGCAGACCATACCAAGGTTTCCCCTTGGATTCTGGACCAGGCCAGTCCTCACATGTAAGATATCTTCTAACTCGGCTGTGATGCCAGATATTACCGAACTGTTCTAACAACTGAAGAAGAAATACGAAATTAAAGAAAGCAAGCAATCTTGTAAAATCTTAAGGTTAAAAAATTACGGGACTTGGATAAACAAAATGAGAAAGAAAAAATGCTGGCAACAATGATCAGAGCCGTTCAAGCAAACATTAGTCAATGAAATATGCATTCTACTTTTCTAAAGATTTGTTAGCTTTTTTAGACATCCAATGGAAATATGCCAATGAGATATAATAACCAAATATTCAATTTGTAACCATTTAAGACATGTAATTTAATAGCGGAAATAGTTTCTGCATTTTAAAATCATTAAATTATAACAACGAACTGAATAAATCTCGTTTGCTCCTCCAAACTCCAGAGGTGCAAAGAAGGATAATGAGGAAAAAAAAAAAAAAGTAGCACTGCTTGTGGTGTTTGTTGTCATTATCATCCTCTAAGAATACTCACAGCAATCAAGCAGGAAATGTCCCAAGCGCACTCCTACTTTGTTAAAATTTCAGAGCCAAATATAGAAGAAAATCATTTCCATGTCAAAGTATTTAAAGCATAGTAAAGCACATCAATAAGGGGAGAATCAAAATAAGCATAAGGACAAAAGTCAAATGGCCAGAGGTGTCATCAGCAAAAAAAGAATAATAATAAAACTAGAAAGATGCAAGGTCAAAAGCTAAAAAGGAACATAGCATAAGATTTAGATCAGCCTAAGCTTATCCAAAAAAATAGATCAGCCTAAGCTTAAAACTAACCTCAGAATGGAGTTTCTCCATGGGCATCCAATCTCCAGGACCACACATATCAGAAAGCACAGTAGCTACAGATGACACAACATCCTTTTCTTCCAATTGCATAAGTTGTTGATTATCAGATTCACGGTCAACTCTTGATTTTCCCTCTCCCTTCTCTATAGGATCTGCAGATATTACCAGGCCAATGAAACAGCATTTATTATCCATAAAGTAAATAAAAAGGATGTACTTTTGGTTACTAAGTACAGGTAAATTATAAAGGGAAGATGTTGATGGAATTGAATGAGGACAGCATTAAGGAATGAATGTTCACGTCCAAGGGTGAAAAACGGATAAGTGAGAAAGTGTATCAAAAAACAATGAAACTGCTTCATGAAATCCTACAACTGGTGCTATAAAAATTTAAATGCATCGCTAATTTAACATAAATTATATACCTAAAACTTCATAGGCAATCCTCAAAAAAAAAAAAAAAAAAAAAAACCTCATAGGCTACTGGTAAGTGGAAAATATACTTCATCTAATAGATTCTTGCTTATTTTCTGGTTGAGGGAGCAGAATGTACCACTAGTACACTTAGGGGAGAGCATTCGACTGTAATAACCAAAATAACTGAACGAAATCGACCCTTTTCAGTAAAATCGAGTCGGTTTTTTTGGTTTTGGTTTGAAATTGATTAAATCAGGTATTTCGGTATCCATAAAGTAAATTTAAAAAATGTACTGTTGGTTACTGAGTTAAGGTAAATTAAAAAGGGAAGATGTTGATGGAATTGAATGAGAACAGCATTAAGGAATGAATGTTCATGTCCAAGGATAAGTGAGAAAGAGTATCAGAAGATAATAAAACCACTTCATGAAATCCTACTAATCATTTTGGTGCTATAAAAATTTAAAGGAACTTTTTTAAATGATAGAGATAAAAATGCATCGTTAATTTAACATAAATTATATACCTAAAACTTCATAGGCAATCCCCAAAAAAAAATCTCATAGGCTATGTGGTAATTGGAAAATATACTTGGTCTCCTAGATTCTTGCTTATTTTCAGGTTGAGGGGGCAGGATGTACCACTAGTACACTTAGGGGAGAGCATTCAACTGTTATACCAGAAATAACTGAACAAAATCGAGCCTTTTCAGTAAAATCAAGTCAGTTTTTTCGGTTTTGGTTTGAAGTTGGTTAAATCAGGTATTTTGGTATCCATAAAGTAAATAAAAAAATGTACTTTTGGTTACTAAGTTAAGGTAAATTAAAAAGGAAAGATGTTGATGGAATTGAATGAGAACAGCATTAAGGAATGAATGTTCATGTCCAAGGATAAGTGAGAAAGATTATCAAAAGACAATGAAACCACTTCATGAAAGCCTACAAATCATTTTGGTGCTATAAAAATTTAAAGGAACTTTCTTAAATGATAGAGATAGCAATGCATCTTTAATTTAACAAAATTTATATAGGCAATCCTCAAAAAAAATCTCACAGGCTACGTGGCAATTGGAAAATATACTTCATCTACTAGATTCTTGCCTATTTTCAGGTTGAGGGGGCAGGATGTACCACTAGTATGCTTAGGGGAGAGCATTCAACTGTTATACCCCAAATAACTGAACAAAATTGACCCCTTTCAGTAAAATCAAGTCGGTTTTTTCTGTTTTGGTTTGAAGTTGGTTAAATCAGGTATTTCAATATCCATAAAGTAAATAAAAAGATGGTTACTAAGTTTAGGTAAATTATAAAGGTAAAATGTTGATGGAATTGAATGAGAACAGCATTAAGGAATGAATGTTCATGTACAAGGGGTGAAAAACTGATAAGTAAGAAGAGTATCAAAAGACAATGAAACCGCTTCATGAAATCCTACAAATCATTTAGGTGCTATAAAAATTTAAAGGAACTTCCTTAAATGATAGAGATAGCAATGCACTGCTAATTTAACATAAATTATATACCTAAAACTTCATAGGCAATACTCAAAAAAAGAAAAACCCTCACAGGCTTTGTGATAATTGGAAAATATGCTTCGTCTACTAGATTCTTGCTTATTTTCGGGTTGAGGGGGCAAGATACCACTAGTACACTTAAGGGAGATCATTCGACTGTTATACCCGAAATAACCGAATGCAATCAACCCTTTTAAGTAAAATTGAGTCAGTTTTTTTGTTTTGGTTTGAAGTTGGTTAAATTAGGTATTTCAGTATCCATAAAGTAAATAAAAAAGATGTAATTTTCGTTTCTAAGTTCAGGTAAATTATAAAGGGAAAATGTTGATGGAATTGAATGAGAACAGCGTTTAGGAATGAATGTTCACGTACAAGGGTGAAAAACTGATAAGTGAGAAGAGTATCAAGAGACAATGAAACCGCTTCATGAATCCTACAAATCATTTTGGTGCTATAAAAATTTAAAGGAATTTTCTTAAATGATAGGGATAGCAATGCACCGCTAATTTAACATAAATTATATACCTAAAACTTCACAGGCAATACTCAAAAAAAGAAAAAGCCTCATAGGCTATTTGATAATTGGAAAATATACTTCGTCTACTAGATTCTTGCTTATTTTCGGGTTGAGGGGGCAGGATATACCACTAATATGCTTAGGGGAGAGCATTCGACTGTTATACCCGAAATAACCAATCGAAATCAACCCTTTTCAGTAAAATTGAGTCAGTTTTTTGGTTTTGGTTTGAAGTTGGTTAAATTACATATTTCAGTATCCATAAAGTAAATAAAAAAGATGTACTTTTGGTTTCTAAGTTAAGGTAAATTAAAAAGGAAGATGTTGATGGAATTGAATGAGAACAGCATTAAGGAATGAATGTTTAAGTCCAAGGGTGAAAATTTGATAAGTGAGAAAAAGTATCAAAAGACAATGAAACCGCTTCATGAAATCCTACAAATCATTTTGGTGCTGTAAAAATTTAAAGGAATTTTCTTAAATGATAGAGACAGCAATGCACCGCTAATTTAACATCCTCAAAAAAAAAAAAAAAAAAAAAAAAACCTCATAAGCTACATGATAATTGGAAAATATACTTTGTCTACTAGATTCTTGCTTATTTTCAGGTTGAGGGGACAGGATGTACCACCAGTACACTTTGGGGAGAGCATTCAACTTTTATAACCGCAATAACCGAACGAAATAGACCTTTTTCAGCAAAATTGAGTCGATTTTTTTGGTTTTGGTTTGAAGTTGATTAAATCAGGTATTTCGATATCCATAAAGTAAATGAAAAGGATGTACTTTTGGTTACTAAGTTCAGGAAATTATAAAGGGAAAATGTTGAAATGAGAACAGCATTAAGGAATGAATGTTCATGTACGAGGGTGAAAAACTGATAAGTGAGAAGAGTATCAAAAGACAATGACACCACTTCATGAAATCCTCTAAATCATTTTGGTGCTAAAAATATTTAAAGGAACTTTCTTAAATGATAGAGATAGCAATCATCACTAATTTAACATAAATTATATACCTAAAACCTCATAGGCTACGTGATAATTGGAAAATATACTTCGTCTACTAGATTCTTGCTTATTTTCAGGTTCAGGGGCAAGATGTACCACTAATATGCTTAGGAGAGAGCATTTTACCGTTATACCTGAAATAACCGAACGAAATCAACCCTTTTCAGTAAAATCTAGTCGGTTTCTTTGAAGTCAGCTAAGCCATGTATTTTGGTTAGTTGTTGGTCTTTGTTTTTGTTAACTGATCCAAAAGAGAAAATCTAAATTAATTAGATATTTAAAATGATAAATATATTATTAATATTTAATACCTGAACCCAATAATACCCATCCATTTTATTTAACTCAATAAAATCCTAGCCCTGTTTTTCTTCCTCCAATTGCAGTTCCTATAGGGTCGAAATTCTCCTCTCACTCTCCTGGTTCCTCTTATTTTTGGCACCACTGCACCAGCCCACCACGGCACCATGCCACCACCCACAAGCCTCCTGCCTCTGAATCTGATTTCTCCCCTTTCATCTCTGATTTTTTCACTGATTCTGTGATTCACCTCTAATTTCTTCCCTTTCTTTGGTTTCTTTAAGTAACGACAGCCACCACCATTCAGCCATACCACACCTGACACAACACAGCTGACGGCTGCATTTCTTTTGCAGTCAACGACTTAAGGTTTCTTCTGTTCTTCCTCCACCAGACACCAGCAGGTCTGGTACCTCAGCACCAGGAGGCAGGCAAAGATTAGTGACTTTCTTTTGGTTAAATTTTGTTTCGGTTCAAATTCCCCTTGCTAATCTAAAGCCATCTTTTATCTCATTTATTGGTAGTATTAGTATTCCACTGAGTCAATTTAAATTGAATAAATGCATGTATAATTTGTTGAGATTTATGGACTGTAATTGCTTGCCTTATTTAAGAAGACAGAGATCTTACAATAGCCTATTACTAACATATTTATTTTGCTTTCAAAGGATATTATATTATTAACATGTTGAAAATTGGTTAACACATGCAAACATAACCGAAATAACCGATCGTAACCGAACGACTTAAATCAGTCCAGTTAATTACAGTTACCAATATTTTAGTTATCAGTTCAGTTATTTCGGTTTTAGAAAATTTACAACCGAATTAACCGAACCAACCAAATGCTTCTCCTAATCATGCTTCAAGATTTAGATGACACAATCTGACTAATACCAAGCTATGCTAATAAGCCTAATAACAAAGAGTCAGATGAAATAGAAGAATCAACACCCTATAATCGTGTGAGAAAGGAAAATAAATGGCGAGCATGGAAGTGCTGGTTGAGCGAATGCCACAATACCAAAATATGCCACCATTACTGACCAATTATGGCAATTTATAACATCCATAAAGTGCTAAACCAGTGTCAATCAATAATGCCAAACATCATCTTTCATCTCCTCTCTCTTCTATGGAGTCACTACTACACTAGGTTCATTATAAGTTTCAAGATGACTGCATTGGAAGTTCTACAGAGTGTAATTCCTAGAGAGCATCTTTAAAAGCTTCCAAAGAAATAAAAATAACTCAGAACCAGGACAAAACAATGGATTAGTGCAAATTCTACAAAGGCAGATCAAGATTCAAAAGGTGCTACAGAAAGAGAAGAACTATAAGCACTGATACAATAATCCCTAACTTTAGTTAGATAGAACTAAACAGTGCGGATTCTAAGAATCTGCCATCCACTATATGCATCTTATTCAACATTTATTTTTATCTAGAGCATTAAAGAATCTAAACTTCAGTAAGGCTCTGCTGACAGTGTAACAACAACTATTTCCCAACAAAGAACCAACAAAAAATAACTAAAATGAGAACAACATCATATCAACTGCAAATGTAACAACAGAGGTCGAAAACCTTAATTCATTTGTAGTAATTTATTGGAATACAAACGGACACTGCTAGAAAGTGATGACAGAGATTAAAGCAGGAAATCAACAAGGATAATGTCTAGGAAATAAAAGAGCACCAGGAAAAAGGATTCGAGTTCAATCTAGCGACGCTTTTTGAGTCCTGCAACCACAAGTAACTATCAAAGCCAAAAAAACCAAGAAGAATAACATTGCAAAGAACGCGCCAGGCAGCAGCTAAATAGTTCAGGCTAGCCATAGCAGAACTCAAACACATTCTCGAAAACCAAGATCTGTCATTTTTCTGAACTAAAATGACAAATCTCTTAGCTATCGAACGAATGTCGGAATACTTCTGCATACAAGAATGCAGAAATAATCCCAAAACAACAAGAAAACCCAATTCACAGTATATATCAGTCACTACATATTTATAAAATCATAAACTTCTCAAAGCAATTATTAGAGAATGACAAATTTTCTTCATAGATTTCCATAATCACAACTACCAAAAAAGAAAAAGTCAAAATTTAATTAAACAATAGCATAAATGATAAACCTTTTACAAAAACCATAAAAATAAATAAATTTTACTGACCTGATCCTCCGGCCAACCCCGCCCTTCCTCCGGACCCGGCCTCTGCCCCACCATACCAATCTTCTCTCCTAGCCATCTTCCCAGCACTCCCAACATCCTCTTGCTCCGCGTACTCCTCCTCGTAATATTCTCTTCCTTTCCCTTTCTTTGCCCCCGCTGCCACCACAGCAGATCCCGCCACGGATCCCACGGTCCTCCCTGTCTCCCCCCCGCCATGGTAATCATGATGCGATACACTTCCGGAAGCCGCCCCCGTCCCCATTGTCTTGTAAGTCGAAACATGGTGCCTAGGCCCAGGGCGCCCGCCGAGAATACTCCTCTTCGGGAGAAGAAAGTAAAATTCTTTGTCGCCGATTTGGAGGAGGTCCTGCGAATCGAGCTTGACGGGAGGGTTACCTGGGAGGTGGAGGACGCCCTCGACAAAGCAGCCGTTTTTTCCGAGGACTTCAAGTGCGAAACGGCGACGCGTGAAGTCATAGAAGATTCGGGCGTGGTGGCGGGAAATGTTCATGCCGCCGCCCAGGCTCGCTAAGTCAACATCAACAGTCGATTTCTTGGAGTTGCGGCCGAGCATTATGGAGTAGGTCTGCATATAGTACTCGAAGTCTTCGCCTTGTAGCTTCGCGAACCCCGCCTCCACGTTGCTCCCACTCGTCGTCCCCATTGCTTTAGATTGCATTTTCAATTCGATTGGCGTTTATACTGTTTGGTTGAATTCAATTTGTTTTTTTTAATCAGTAATCTATAACTCCGTTGTGAAATTACTATTTTACCTTTCAATTTTAAATTTTGGAAAAGTTGATTTATTTGGTAGGTTAAAGATTTAAATGCAAAGTTTCCAAAAAAGATGATTAACATATCTATGAATAATTTCATTACCATTTTAAATTTTGTACTTAAATATTTTAACTAAATTATATTTATTAACCCATTTTTTCTTATTTAATTTTTATACATTAATTAAATTTATTAATTATTTTTATAAATAAAACAGTAAGAATACAATTAAATATAATGATTTATTAAATAAGTTAAATGAAAAAAATTATTTAAAAAAACTCTTTTTTGTTAAAATTTTTTGATAACATTAATATTATTTTATTTTATACCATAAATTAAAATATATGTCAAGTTATATAATAAAATATAAATATTTTTAAAAATTCATATAAATTAAATATTTAAATATGTTTTATTATGTAATTTATAAATAATTATTTTTTATATATTTAACTTTAATAACTAACAAAATATTATTAAATTAAAATTGATACATATATTAAAATATGCAAAAAATAAAATTATTTAAATAAATCATTATAATTTAATATACTTTATTTTAAAATTATATTTTGAAAATAATTTGATAAAAAATATAAATTTATAGTTTAATTCGTCAACCTATTTTATTTTAGGTCAAATTATGGAATTAATTATTATACTAATATGAAATTTGAACTTTAGTCCTATATAATAATTTACAAAAGTTATATTATCACACTAATTTAATTTAACAATATTGATCCAATTTATAATTATATTACTTAATCTCTATTAAATTAACAAACGCGGCCATTAACTATGTTGACGTAGCATTTACTTTAATGACATGACATTTACTTATTAATGTGGCAATTAGGATTGGTGAAATCAATTATTAAATTATATAAATAATTATCGTATTCATACGAAATTTGAAATTTAATTATTTTGACACAAAAAATATTTTAAATTTTTAGAAAATTTATATTTTTTAAAACATTAAATTTTAAAATTTGTTACAATATTATATCATAATATTCTATCATAATATTGAAAAATCTATCACAATATTTAATCACAAATTTTTATATATTGTCATTAAATCTATCACAATTTTTTGTTACTCCTGTAAAATACTATTATTAGTTCCATTGCTATTTTTTATTGCATTATGTTATAAAATATATATCTGTCATTAATTTAGTCACACTTTTCTATCATAATTATAATATATTACGGTCATATGAAAATTATTTTTAAACCAATCTATTAAAAATATGTCACAAAATTGTACATAAATAATATAAAATTGTCACCATCTAATTTTAATAAAATTATTATTTTTATTAATTTATCTAATAAATTTGAATTATAATTGCATCCCATTAGGGTTAAATTAACCATAACTAATTTTTTATATTCCTTTAAATTAAATCATATTTAAATGACTTTTTATAGTCAAATATATATTCAAGATTTTAAATGCATTAAAGTAATTTACTAAATTCAATGTACATTAATTTTAAAATTAATCTTATTATTTAATTTAACACAATTATTTAAATAATTTTTTTAATACTAAAAAAATTAAAAATTCTCATTATGATACACAATATTGATATTTTGATTTATCAAATAAATAATTTCCTCTTTTCATTTTATTGTGATTCAATGTTTGTCTTTAAAATGGATAAGAGTTTGTCCCTCGTAAGAATTTAGGTATGAATCTTTTATTTTGTTTGGTTGGATGGAATTATCATTTTATTTATAACCTATTTCGAATTCATTATAAAATGTAATTCTATTGAATAGTTTTGTTTATTATAAATTTTGTCATATGATATATTTATACTAACTAAAATAATATTAACTTTGATATGTTAATTTAAATTATTAATATTATAATTGATTAACATAAATGATAATAATAATATTATTAATATGATATTATTAATAATTAATTATATATAATAACAACTAATATATTAAATAAACTAAAATATTTTTAAAATTTAACATTTTTACTAAACTAAAAAAATTCAAAATATTTTATTATTAATGTGATATTATTAATAATTAATTACATATAATAACAACTAATATATTAAGAAACTAAAATATTTTTAAAATTTAACATATTTATTAAAATAAAAAATTCAAAATTTTTTTATAGTAAAAGAACTATTTTCAAAATTCATGTGAATAAAGGAATTAAATTTGAATGTAAAGGAATTAAATTTTAAATTTCGTTAAAGTAAAGAGATAAAATTTTAAATTTTGTATGAATATAAAAATTATTTATATAATTTAATAATTAATTTAATTAAGTTTAACTGACACATTAACAAATAAGTAACACATCATTAAAGTCAATGCTAAGTTAATGTGATCAATGATTACATCAATTAATTTATTGAGAATCAAATAATACTATTATTAATTGAATAAATATTATTAAAATAAACTAATATAATAATTTAATTTCTATAAATTATTATATAAAAACTAAAATTTAAATTTTATATACTTACGAAGATTAATCGAATAATTTGACCTTTATTTTATAACCAAACACACTGATATCGGAGCTTTGTTTTCTCTGGACTCTGGTGCCTTTTTCTCTTGCCTTAAAGCCCAGCTTTGTTTTCTTTGTTCTTTCCATGGCTGCTAGCCAGCCCACCTATCTCAACCCGCCCCTATGAAGGGATACGAAAACCGAAAAACCAAACAAATTCCTGCTTGATTTAAGAAGAGCCCAAATCAAATGACCCAAGTTCCGTCGCCGTACATAGCAAAAACACCTTCGCTCAGCTCTTGTTCTGTCCTGCTTTCTTCTTCCTACCGTCGGCTGCCGTCCCCTCTGACTCTTCTCTTCCGTCGGCGTGTTTTTAGTTCAAGGTATGCTCTTTTATCAGCACATTTACTCGTTTTTCATCTGATTGTTTAATTACATTAGAAAATTAAATCTTAATTCAAACTGCCAGCTGATTTTCTTTGGGAAATTGCGCAAGGGCTTTGAGTTCCATTGATGCAAAAGCAAAATGGGACTTTGGCAGCTTATAGTTTTGAACCGTTTTGGTTGCTTTTCTTTTCTTTTTGTGTGTGATCATTTTCATCATTTGAATGGGTTTTAGTTTGCTTAAATGATTGGTTTTAGGCCTTTGAGCTAAGTAATTTAGATTTGAGAAATAGTTTATCCCTTTACTTGAATTTGCCAGCTGATGTTCTGGGAATTTTTTGCTAAAGGGCTTTGAGTTCCATTCAACAACAACTACAAACTAAGCCTTATATCTTATAACTCTGGGATCGGCTGTATGAAAGGGCTTTGAGTTCCATTATCATGCAATAATAATGAAATTTCATTTATGTTTTTCTAGATACGTCTGTGTTTACAGTGTTGCACATTGTTTTGATCATGCCAAGACAGCATTTTTTTTTTCTCCTTAGCTATGAATGATGAACCTCTAGTCATTTTACAAAAGGGCAATCTAAACTCTGTTCCTGCTAATTTTATGGTTAGATTAGAGCGGACAAGATATTAAAGATGTCATTAAGGCCCTCTTTGTTTATTTTAAGCATACGAGTCAGGGCTTCTGTTCTGCTTATTCATGTTTTTTTGGGTTATTCCGACCGATAGTGAAGAGTAGACAAATTGGATGTTGTTTATGTTTTATCTCAGGAATTTCTTTCTTGATGATTTTTCCACTTTGTTTTGCAGTTTAGCTTCTCATTGCTATGTGTTTTTCTTATTTATATAAATCTTTGTATATTTGGTTATTTTATAAATATCACATACAAGTTCGACATGCTCATGCATAGACACGCATTATGTGCATTGAGTGGTTATCAATACTTGAGTCTTTGATACATCACTTGATTGTTTGTATTTTTGCTTTTTGCCTAGGCATCATCGGGCTTGAAATAAAATCAGGACTTCTGAGCTAATTATCATTGCCAATCCGATGAAGCATGTTTTGAAGATTTTCTCTCTGCTGCTGGTCATCTCTGCACTTTGGATTGGCCTCTTGCAGGCATCCATAATGCCACAAAGCCATACCTGGTTGGTGAGTTTGTTTTTCTGCCTTAATGATCTTGTTTTATTTGTATCCACTTGTTCTAATGCGTTACCACTTACTTTGCACTATAAAAATTTTCCAGCTACCTATCTATTTTATTGTGTCACTTGGATGCTATGGTTTATTAATGGTTGGAGTTGGTCTAATGAGATTCCCAACTTGCCCTCAAGAAGCATTGTTGCTGCAGCAGGTATTTCATCTTTAAATTTTTTATTATTATTACAAGATTTTAAATTATATAACGGAACGTCTTCCCCTTTTCCTTTCCTCTCCTTTTGTTTTTCCACTGTGTTTTTTAGGAGGCTGATAATATCTACTGTGGTTGGGACCTGGAACTTGAATTTTCTTCTCATCTGCTATAAGCAATCTGTTTGTAACATTTTTGGGGAAGTTTTAATAAGTTTGTGCTGACGATTATTATAATTTGTTGGCTTGATTTATTTTCCGCGGTTCGATAATATGTGGAATGTTTATAGGACATTGCTGAGGCCAAGGGCTTTCTGAAGCAAAGCGGGGTTGATGTTGGTTGTAAGTGATGGTTGCTTTGTAATGTCTCTTCTTGGACCCAAGTCAGAACAAATTGCTGCTAGCTTTGTCAATGGACCAGAGAGGAAAATTACAGATTGGGAACAAACTTCAAAGTATACATACCTTTCATAGAAGAATTATAATTGTATTGAGAAATATTTTGGGGTTTATCATAGTTGTTGAGTAATTTTCCCCTCAATTTAGCCCATTTAAAGTATAATATAATATAAGGAAGGTAAATAAATCCTCATTTTTATGTAGATTTAATAATTTAAAATATGATATGATAATACGATACGAATAAGAGAGATATGAAAGTGACAGTTTAAAATTTTAATAAAAATCATAAATATAATTAACAAAACAATAAATATATATTTTATATTTTTGTGATAATATGAATTGTTATATGTAATTTTTGTAAAACGTGATCTGAATATATAAATTGTTAATGTTTTATGTAATATGAATACACGAATTATCATATTTATCTTCGTGCAAGAGAAATGCAAACGAATTGTCACTTTCATACCAGAGAAATGCGAGGAAGAAATTGCAGCCCCGTAACCATTTTGTATAGAATTGGATCATCCAACCTCTTCTCTCATTTCAGGAAAGCTCAGTCTCGGCTTTTAGTGAATCGTTTTGGCACCACTCGATTAGGTTCAAATCTTCATTGAATGGCTAACGCTATGCAAATGATGTTTCGTACATGAAGCAATTATTTCAATATATGTTCATTTTATTCAAATATTGTCATGTAGTTATGTTGTTGAAAAAATTATAATTTATTATATATTTAAATGATAAATATTTATTTTAATATCTAATAAATAATTAATTGTTTTATAAATACAATTACGTGTTAAAATTTAGATTAAAAAAAATATGTTGATATAATATAATTGTTCTATACAATTTTTTTCATGCTTCGTTTATCGAAAATCTCTCCTATCATATATAAGCTGGATCGGCCCATTTATATTGTATTTATTATTAAAATAATTTCAAATCTATTTTAAAAATTAAAATCAAAAGAATATAATAATATCACGTGCTGAGCCTAAACTTAAAAAATATGCATGAAATTCACTTGTTAATAACTCGACCTTTGGACGGTCTATTTTACTTAGTTATATGTTAAATATTATTTTTTAAATGCATTTAATGTTTTCATAATTTTTAATTGAAGAGTGACTAAAAATAAAACATTGGCTGTAAAGTTATTTTTTATGTGAATTATAAATTTATTTAAGTTACTTTATATAATTATTTTATTTTTTATATAAAAGAAATTACAATTTAAATTAACAAAAGATATTATAAGTGTTGTGATTTGAATTTTAAATTTATTAAATATTACTGCTTAATAGTATTATATGAAACAACTTAACTAAATTTCAAGTTTTTTATGTAATCACTTTTAGAGATGATAACAATTCAAATCAGGTTGAATTCAATTTAATTTTTTTGGATAATAGATAATATTGTAAATTTTTAAAATTCGATCTGAGTCTAAATCAATTTTTTTTTTAAAGCAATCCGATTCGAATTCAATTCTACCGATTCAATTATATTCGGTTTATTGATTTTTAAATTTAAATTTTTTTATTTTTATATATTATTTTAATTATATTTTTAATATATTTAAATAAATTTTTATAGATAGTAATTATTTTATTTTATAAAAATTTAATATATATAAACTAATAAAAATATATAATTTGGTTCGATTATGTTTTTTTAAAATTTTTTTATATTGTGATTCAAAATTCGATTTGAACTTAATATATATATTTAATATTCGAATTTGATCCAAACAGAATAAAAAAATCGATCCAAATAGAATCAAATACAATGGTTTCAAATCAGTTTTTGATTTTTTCAAATTTTTTTCTCACCCCTAATCACTTTTAACATCCAAAAATTTTAAAATTTAAATGTTAACATTTATAATACCTTTTTATTTTTTTTTTATTTTCAAATTATGATTTTTTTTAAAGAGTGTTGAAAGTGAATATTTTTAGAAAAAAACTTGACCACATGGAGCTTTGATATTTTTATAAGTAAGATATTGCCATAATATCATTGATGCTGTGACAACCAACCAACCAATCAACATTTCCTGTGCCCTCGACGCCTCAATAATGTCTTGAATTTGTTCCGTTCTTTACCAAACATAGAATTAAAGTTGAAACAACAGCCACTTTAATATTATATTTGGTAAGAGCAAAAAAAATTTAAGACGAAAGCCCCAATGGTGATGATTTAAAATTTGGCTAAATTCCAAAGTTTTTTATTTCCCATTATACCAAATTTTGATATGATTCAAAAGTTTTAAAATCAAAATCAACCTCAAATAATGACGAAATGAAGTCAATTACATCAAGTAACATTAAATGCTCACCCACTTTAAAGTTGACGCAATCAAGAGTAATTTAAGATAAATGCTAAAGAATAATTAATAAGTTATTAATTTAATTAATTAAGATTTTTTTTTTTATTAAGAGATTTTGAATTTGAGTTTTATTAGTAATAATTTATTAAGATTATTTTGAATGTACGATTTACAATCATCTGTCTTATATTATCAATATGACACATCTTATCTTATCTTAAAAGATTGAATAATTTATTTATTTTTAAATTCTTTTGAAAAAAAAAGATAAATGCTATGAAAATGGATTATTTTAATGTAAAAGATATTATAATCTCAAAATGAATAAAAAATTATAAACTTTTTTTGGAGATAAACTATATTAAAATATTTATTTTTTAATAAGAATTATTTTAATCTTTATTGGTATCAATTTCATATCGCTTAAGGGGCAAAACTTTCAATATGGCATTGAGTATTGTTTATTTTATTTTATTTTTTATTATTTAAGTGGTAAAATTTTCAACGTGGCATTGAGTATCATTTTATTTTATTTTATTTTTCTGTTTCTTATTCCTTTCCTTTTCTTGAAGAGTGTTGCACCAAACCTAAAGCTCTTTTAATCTTTTTTTTTTTGGTTTTCCACCAATACTTTTGTTAATCATTTTAATCTAATTTCTTTGTATGGTGTAAAGATAAATAAAACCCCCTTTCCATTGGATGAAATCATTTTGTTTTTGTTGTTTTTGTGAAGTTTTTGGGTGATAGTTTCACTCGTTTTTTTGTTTTATAACATGTCCATGACTTCACCATTCCCAAATTAAAAAAAAAAAAAAAACTATTTGGTTTTGTTTGAAGTAAAAGGTAAAATTATGTATGAGTTAGAGCAAGAATTTCAGTTTAATTGAGTTGAATTAATTTTGATGGATTCTTTAAAAAGTAGTATTATGAATGATAATTGATTAAATTGAATTGGATTTAATTTAAATTTTTTAGATAATGTATAAAATAATAAAATTTTAAATTTCATATCAAATTTTTATGTGATTCGATTCAAAACAAAATGAATTTATCAATTCAATTTCATTTATCAATTTTAAAATTTAATTTTTAATTTTTGTATATTATTTTAATATGATTTTTAATAATTTGAAATAGATTTAGGTATAAAATAATTATTTTATTAAATAAAAATAAAATATTTATAAAAACTAATAAAAATATATAAGTGAGTTCGGATTGATTTTTTTTTTAGTTGTTCACTTTTCAATGAAAAATTCGGTTCAAATATAATATATATATATATATATTTAATATCTAAATTTAATTTATATCAAATAAGAAAAAAAATCAATATTGTTTGAATCAAACACTATAATTTTAAATCAATTTTTGATTTTTTCAAATTTTCTCATCCTTAACCAGTATAGTTGATTTCGTGTTTGATACAATACCGTAAAAATAGATGTTTAAGTTGAAATAAAATGATTGCTCACTAAGTAAAATCGGGAGATTTGGGGAAGGAGACAAAAGTAAGATTAAAGGTTCATTTGGATGATGATGAAATTAATTTAAGTGAGATTAAAATAATAGTGGAGATGAAATTAATTATTATAACGGTAAAATTAAAATTAATGGTAGAATATGTGTTTAGAGTAAGTGATAATGAAAATGACCATTAAAGATTTATTCTAAAAATATATTGATAAATTATTTTTATATATTTTAATATTATTTATAACATTTAAAATTTTAAAAAATTTATTTAATCAAAATATTAATATATTTTATTTATTATTATTAAATTAATAAAAAAATTTAAAATAAAGAAATAAAAAAAAAAGTAAAAGGTTAAAATGGTAGGGATATTTTGTCAAGTCACTATAGCTTTAAGGGTAAAAAAAAAAAAAAACCAGAAAGACTAGGACAAAATTGAAAGAAAGCCGCGATGAAAGAAAGTGATTTTTCACTGGAGCTAGGAGCTCTAGTGGAGATTAACTCAGTGGAGAACTGAAGGTCACCAAAACTTACTGGTGTTATCCAAACACCAAAATAGCACGATTTAAGCCAAAAAAAAAAAAAATGATGCAAATCGCACCTCACCATGGCTCGGATAGAATCCAAATGGAGCCTAAACAAAAAAAAATATTGTTGCATCAAAAGAACTAAAACAAGGAATCATCGTTGGAGTTTAAAAGATCATGACATGAATGAACACGAGGGGGATTACCTGAACAGTTTCTAAATGAATCTACGGTACCAAAGTGTTCGGAAAGAAAATAAAAAATATGTTGGCTAATGTTTAAAAGCCATACATTATGGTAGGCTGCCGGAAATTACTAGCGGCAACCATCGTCACTCATAGTGTCGTACAAGTAAATTTAGCATAATTTCTCTTTTATGGTAAGAACTGGTGGTCACTTTAAAAAAACAGAACGAAATGTATAAATCATTTCAAAACAGAGCAAATTCATGCTTGTCCAAATACAAGTGTAAGTTATGGCACAATCACAATCCAATAGCTGTAACTTTAATCAAATATTGCATTAGAAAAAACGAGACAATATTGAATATGAAAAGTGTAATGAATTAATAATTATAATATTTAGATTTGATTTAAATAAAATTTAAATTTAATTTAAGTAATTGTTGAGTCGAATTCAAATAGCACGATTTATTAAATATGTTAAATTTAAATATTTTAATATTTAACTATAATAGTTCAATAATCTAATTAAAATTTTAAATTTTAATATATTTTTATTATTTTAATTATAAAATTACTGTTTTATTTTTATATATATTAATTCAAGTTCGAGTCTGAATTCGAATTTAAACACATAATTAAGTTTGAAATTAAGCATGAAAATCAAATTCATTTTTATTAAATAAATCTAATTAAGTGAGCTCAAAATTTTTATTTCAAGTTGAATTCATATTAAAAATTAAAAATTAATTAAATTAAAATTGAGTTTGAAACAATAATTTTTAAATTGAATTTAAAATTTTTATTATATCAATTCGTTTCAACTCAATTACAATCTTAAAAAATAGGTTAAACACGTCAAAATGTAAACCAAAGAGGCGTTAGGGAGCCAATTTTTGGTCTTACTTTTGTCTCCTTCGACGCTTTAAACAATTTAACCCCTTCCTCTCCATATTAAGCAGGCTTTAATCATTAATGTCCATATCCAGTCTAAACAACCCATAAAAATTAACTATAAGCTTCTTCAAATTTTCCATTTTCAATTTTTGAACAATTATTTTATTTCAACTCAATACATTCTCTTTTTGTGGCATTCTATCAAACACCAAATTAACAACACCAATTCTTCAAAAAATCCATCCTAATCAATTCAACCCATTCAAAACCTAAATTCCTGCACAAACCCATGTATAATTTTACCTTTAGATAACAAAGCCACACACGTTTTTTTCCCTTTTTTTTAATTTGGGAAAAAAAAGTGAAATTATCAACAAAAAATTTCATAAAAAACAATAAAAAAAAATGATTTCATCCAATGGAAAAGGGGTTTTATTTCTCTTTACGCTGTACAATCAAATTAGATAAAAATATTAACAAAAGTATCGGGGGAAAGAAAAAAAAAAAAAAAAAAAAGCTTCGGGCTTAGCGCAGCCTTGTGATAAGGAAAGGAATAAGAAAAAAATTTTAAAAAATAAAATGATACTCAATGCCACGTTGGAAGTTTTGTCGCTTAATCAATTATATGAAATTGATATGACATAAAATATACAAAATTTATTTTAAGGAGAAAAATTAAAAATATTCGAGAATGAGGATTTTAATATTTTGCTTTGGGAAAAATTTACAGTTGCAATTATAGGGGTATGGATTTTAAATTAATTAAATTACAGGGTTAATTAAATTAAATTTTAAATTTAAATAAAAATAATTTAAACAAGTAAAATTGGATTGTGGATGATTATATTTATTTATACATGACTTTGCATTTATTTTTTTTAAAGTTAGTTGAGTGATAATAGTTTGAATCAAATTGAATTTGATTTGATTTTTTAAATAATATATAATATTATAAATTTTTAAAATTTGAATTTGAATTTAAATCGATGTTTTTTTGAAATAATTTATAATCAAAATTTATAAGTTGGACTCATTTAGTTTTAAATTTAATTTTTGTTTTTATATATTTTAAATATATTTAGATATAAAATAATTATTTTTATTTTATAAAAATTAATAAAAATATATAATTTAATTTAATTAATTTTTTTTATTTTTTATATTTTAACTTTAACTTAATATATATATTTAATATTCAAATTTGATTCAAATCAAATCATACACTATAATTTTAAATCATATTTTAATTTTCTCAAATTTTTCCCCTAGCAGCCACCCTTTATACAATAAATATTCCTTCTTCCTAACTCTATATTAAAATGTTTGCTTTGCTTTCTTGAGTCAACAGTCAACACCTTCACAATCACAATCATCAAGGACTTAATTGTTTCATAAGCTTAGGAATATTGTATATAAATTAGCATATTTTAATATTTTATTAGTAAAAAAATCTAATTTATAAATAAAAAATTTAATTTCACTCAAAAAATTTATTAATATACACTTTATTCATTTTAATTATTTGTATAAAATGTAATTTTATATTTTTTATAATTAATATTTACAAATATACAAAAAGAGAATTTTATTTACATTTATAAAAACACTTTTTGCATCTCATTGTTAAATACACTCACATTTAAAATATAATTCTCTATTTTTTTAAATACACATTATCTCAACAACATCATATTTCACTTATATTATTTTTCTCTCTTTTTAATTACCTCACTCTCGATCTAAATTTAATCCAAACTTAATTCTAAAATTATTAAACCAACCCCTAAATCACCAAATTATTTTAATATTTCATTTATTGCATGTAAGATTTTAATATTTTTTTGATTATATCATGAGGGTAAATTTTTAGTACAAATAAAAAAAAAAAAATTTAAAATCATACCCTTGATGTTCCCATAAGCACCTTTAACCACTAAGTTAAAACTAATATTTTATTCATTAATTTGGTTAAAATCACATAAAAATTATAATTTTTATGAAAAATTTTTCATTGAAATCGTATTTTTCAAAACTTATTTTTTGAAATTCTCAAAAATAAAATTTTGAAAGTCTTAAATGTTGAATGAAGTGTAAATGGAATGTAACATTTTTTTTTTATTGAAATTATATTTCTTAAAATTAAATTTATCCAAAATCTATTTTCAAAGGATTTTTAAGGGCATTAAACATAATATGTAAAAAGGATAAAATTATAACTTATTAAAAAAAATTAATATTTTATATATGAATATTCTTTAAAAAAATATGTTGGAGGTGCGAGTTGTGTGTTAGATCCACTTAATGTAAAAATTATTGACTTTGTGACGTACACGTGACATGAATTAGCACATGCGGAGAATGGCAACCTCGTAATTAATGTGCAAACCCCAGTGGCAATTGGAAACATTGGCTATATCATTATCATCCTCCGCGATCTACCACAAGACCTCGGTCATATCGACCAAAATCTCCCCGGTCCGCCATAAAAGGAAAAAACAAATCAAAGTATCAAAAGAACTGAAGCTAAGGTTCTCGTCTTTGTTGTCGGAAGAAAAAAGAGAGGCAGAGATGCTGAAGCTTTCTTCTTGCAATGTGGCGGACCAGATTCAGGCCTTGGCCCAATGCAGATTCCCGGGTTCACCAGGTCCATTCTCCTTTTGTCCGCGGAGCCCAGTCTCTGTTTCCTTCTCTCCGGCCAGCAGACTCAACCTGACGCTGGTTCAAGCAGTTCTGTCGGCCCAGCAACAAGCGGGGACGGAGCTGGTCGAATCCGGGTCCGGGAGTTTTGCTCAGCGGCTCCGATTGGGTAGCTTGACGGAAGATGGATTGTCTTATAAAGAAAAGTTTATCGTGAGGTGCTATGAGGTTGGAATTAACAAAACTGCCACCGTTGAAACTATTGCTAATCTCTTGCAGGTATTTTACCTTTCTTTCGTTCTTTCAAAACTTGGGTTTCAACTTTCAAGTTGATTTTATTTGTTTGCATGCATTTGGGATTGTTTTAACTCGAAGTTGAATCTGGGTTATGAAACTTCAAGCATTTTCTGCTTTTTACTTTCTTTAATTATTCTTTTTACACTGGTAGATTTGGGTGGCTTTCTCTGTGTAATTTGGAAGTATGAGAAGCTGGTAGATCTATAGATCTCACTGAATATATTAATAATATAAACGATATCTACATACAATGTTTATTCAAGGATTGATAAACAATGGAAAGCTTGTCATAATTTTCAGTTCAAAATGAAATTTTTAAATGAAATGTTAAAACTTTTAAAAGTACTGGAATTTTTATATAAAACTTCATTATAGGAATTCTACATGAGTTTTTGCTCTTTCCTTTTTGGTTTGGTCATATTGTATGTTTAATTTTGTTACAGCTAGGTGGAAAGTTTTAGCAACTGTAGATGAAATGAAACATGCTTTTTCAAATTTTATTTGTTTAATCTTTTGGAAATTTATGCATTGCAGGAGGTTGGATCTAACCATGCTCAAAGTGTTGGATTTTCAACGGATGGGTTTGCTACCACTAAAACCATGAGAGAATTGCATCTTATATGGGTGACTGCACGCATGCACATCGAAATATACAAATACCCTGCTTGGTGAGTATTTTACTCCTTCATTTAACGACATTTATTTATGGTTTCCATTTGTAATTTATGTTTGACAATTAGATGTTGATTTTGTGGCGTAGGAGTGATGTGATTGAAATAGAGACATGGTGCCAAAGTGAGGGAAGAATTGGAACCAGAAGGGACTGGATTCTAAAGGACTCTGCAACTGGTGAAGTTATTGGAAGAGCTACAGGGTGCATCTTGAACTTCACTCCTCCCCCAACCCTCTTCCCCCTTTTTCCTTTTCAGTGGATATTAGAAGATTCATAACATGAAAAGACCGGAGGGCACTATAATTTTCTACACACTTTAATCCACAGTGAACATTTACTTTAAAATTAGAAATTATTCCCCGGTTGTTTAGATTCTGTCCTGCAAATAACCATCCTGCAAAACCTGCTGCTCTTGCCCATCTGTATAATCTATCGTGAATGCCATTGAATATCTTCATTTGTGCTATATCATTTCTAGATTAACTGTGCTGATATGAGTTAATGTGTAAGATTTGATGTATTCTGAAAGCTAATCACATCTGGTATGATTTCAGCAAGTGGGTGATGATGAACCAGGACACTAGGCGGCTGCAGAAAGTTAGTGATGATGTCAGGGAAGAACATTTAATCTTCTGTCCACGAAAACCTAAGTAGGTGCTTTTCTTCACCAGTGGCGTAAACTATAACACTTTTTACATTTTTAATTGCACAATTTAATGGGATGCTACACTTTTTATATTTTTAATTGCACAATTTAATGGGATGCTAAATAAATATGACATGATTATATTCCATTAACTAACTTTAAAGCAGTTTTTCTGTCCAATTTCCGTTGCCCATTGCTTCATCAAAATTGAGATCTAAGCTGGATGCCTAATAGCATAAGTGTCTAATGTCAACTGACCCATAAAAATTTGCAAGTATTACCATAAGATTTCAGAGGCTTGAAAATGCTTATCTCTGTGTGTGTGTGTGTATGCCTGTGGCCTGAAAGGCTTGAAAATGGTTAAGAGAGGCCAATTTACGAATTTTCTTAATGGATCTCTCTTTTTGCATATACAAAAATAAATGGGATTGAATTTTCTTGGAAATGGAGAGTACTATTCTAAACTGTTTTTGAGGTAAGGTCAGTGAACACCGGAAATGGCTCTATGATTTCAACTGTTATGTTTCATGTCAGTCTGTTGATACGGTTGCCAATAAGGAAGTGGGGAATTTTGGTTAACTTGGAGACATTCTGTTGTAATTGCATACTAGAACTTATGAATTTATTTGCTTTGAATGTCTACTTCTTGATCAAAGTTGACTGAAGCTGGATAGCATAGTCAATAGTATAAATGCCTCATGATAACTGAATCATCAGAATTTGACACTAATCTTTTAAGATGGTGGACTAAATGCTGAAGTTGTTGCAAATTTTAGGATGTTTTGTTGCATGAAGTGTTGTAAAAATGCAGAAGACAATAGATGCTCCAGCTAGCAGGATAAAGTTTGCAACTCAGGAAAAATCCCTTTGGATTTAGAGCATGTATCAGTGTCATTAATAAAGCTGAACTTAATATCAAATTATATTTTTGCTGTTCTCATTTATGCTATTTGTTTTAAGGGATACATTGTTTCTTATTTAATTGATCCTCTTCTGGCGTTTACAGATTAGCATTTCCGGAGGCGAACAACAAAAGTTTGAAGAAAATTCCCAAATTAGAAGATCCTGCCCTGCATTCCAGGCTTGGGCTTATGGTAAGATTATCTGATTTATCTAAATTAGTTTGTATACTTTTTCAAATCCTTAGTGTGCTTTTAAAATGTGTAGCCAAGAAGAGTTGATCTGGACATGAACCAGCATGTCAATTACGTCACCTACATTGGATGGGTTATGGAGGTCAGTAGAAAGGACATCCTAAAATTCCTCTTTCCGAAGATTTTTCAATATTGAAAAATTGCTGGTTTAACTGTTCCAGTTGATTTTGTAAGCTAACAATTATGCATGACTCTTTCACAGAGCATGCCTCAAGAGATTATTGACACCCATGAACTGCAAACTATAACATTGGATTATAGGCGGGAATGCCAACGGGGTGATGTGGTGGATTCGCTTACCAGTCCAGAGTCAATCGGGGGAACAAATGGGTCTGCAGGTACAAGAGAAGACTACCCTACGTTCTTGCATCTATTGAGATTTTCTAGTGATGGACAGGAAATAAACCGAGGTCGTACTGAGTGGAGAAAGAAACCTGCGAGATGAGGAAATAATTTAGTTTAAGGTGCTTTTGGTGCTTTCATCAATTGTCAGGTTTACCTCTTCTTTTTCTCAGTGTGTTTGTATTTTCTTATTCACTCGCGGAGGAATTTGCTTCAAATGCAGTCGTAGAATGTGTATTGTGGTGTGGAGCTCAAAATCAATAAATCATGAATTAGATATAGCATATGATCTTTGATGCATCCACATCAAAATCCACGAATCAGTTGTGCTTCCTTTCGTCTTCTGTTGCTTCTTGTAAGCCTTAATGTCTTATTTACGGAATAAATAATATTTGAACTTCTGGGTTATGAATCTAGTAACTTCTGCTTTAGAACAGATTTGTCTAGCGTATATGGATCATTTTTCAGCCAATCCCTCATTGAACCAGTTTTCTTAAATTTCATTTACGTTTGCTATGTGTCCTAGTTGATGCAGAAGAAACAGATGACATCTATTATCTTGCATCTTCTCCTTTGGATGGATCACCGTGGAAATGTTTTGAACTTGAATGCTATTTTTAAAAGGTGATTGCATGAATCGAAAAATTCCAGATTGGTTGCATGCAAACTTTGCATGAAAAGACCTATGCTTATGAAAAGGATTTGGTGCTCCATCTCAACTTACCGCAGTAATATGTAGTAGATACAGACTGAACCATGTGAATAGGATTCAGGAACTAAAGTCTGCTGGGCAAGCCTTCTTGCTTCATCATCTGCTTCCGAGCCGGAGCGTACCAGGTAGGCACTAAACTAAGCTTTATGAACTCAAGCACGAGTTCCCATCTTAGATATTCACATTACAAACCAAAATGAAAGAGTATATAATGCTCCCTGTCGGTGTCTTAAATAGAAAGAGTTGATACAGAGCAGGGCTAATAATCCGTGTTCAATTTCATTCACATCCAAATGGGTTATAGATTCAAGCCAAGTAGCCTAAGATCAGGAATAAACATTTCTTTTACAAGCAGTCTCTTCCTTGAATTATCGGTTACACAATCCCACACATTCAGAACCCTAAGACTAATCCATGAAAATAGCCAAACTACCAAAATTAACTGATTCCTTACTAAAGCGGAAACTTGATAGAGACATACACGACGAAAGCCTTAATTGCAGCTTCTTTCACATGGTGAAGCAGCATATGCAGGGCAGATTACAAAAATTGTATTCATTCAAGATGTTGGAGGCCAACTCCTGATCCATTCAGTTATGGTCGCAACATTTCGAGTGATGTCCTCAATATTATCACTCTTTAGAGCTATAAGAATGTCCTCAGGGTAACTTTCTTTTGCTTCCTCCAGCAGAACTTGAAAGATTTCACACTCTATATTGTTTGAAAGCTTGGCACCCTCATAACCCCTGCAGAAAATGGGTTTTTTTTAGAAAACAAAACCAAATAAATGAACTGGAAAGCCTAATCATTTGGACAGAACGTTGGTACCTCTTACTCAACCGGTCATACAACACAGTGTTGTCGGTTTGAAGCACTACCACAAGATCAAGCCATCGTTCAGGAAAGAAATCACAACCATGATAATCTACGATGTTTCCACCTTCTTCCATCACATCCTCAAGCTCATTACACACCTTCAGGCTTGGACACATTACAATCATCGTCGAAAACAAGCAAGATAATAAATCAACAAAATATAAGGTTAAAGCATAGGGGAAGTAGTGAAATTATGAGGTCTTCATTGATAACGTGGCATTGGAGGTCGTCGTCCCAGCCGTCGTGCAAGTTTTTCTCTCTGACCAAATCTCCAATATTGATATGGCGCAGCTGGGAGGCCTCCGCCAGAGCAGAAGACGTCATTGTTTTGCCAGTTCCAAGCGTGCCCGTCACCAATATGTTCGGCCTCTTTCTCTTGTTGCTGTCGGGAGCCATAGTGAATTACTTTGGTTTTTCCTCTTTTGGGTGCACCGAAGGATGTTTTCAAGGTCTTATTCCAGGTTTTTCACCTTCTCCTTGACAACGAAAGATAAAGAAATGGGTTTTTTCATGTATTATGAATTCTGCTAAAGCGATTCGGCCCATCGAAACCTCTTCAGGTTGAACTCGGCCTGTCAGAAAGCGTGGTCTGTTGCCGATGGAGGACGTCAATTTCAATGTTTTGAACTATTTCAAGTTCAATACGATGAATCAGTCTACTATTGTGTTCACTTTTCACCAGAGTTTTACGTTTTAATTTGCCTTTAAACGAACCGATCTTCATGTGGAAGCACGAAGGCACCCGCTACTCTCACTTGGAGAAGTGAGTTAGGTAGACATACATTTGCATTCCACCAGTAGCCATCAGAAGGCTCCATGGAAGTGGAAATGCTTAATCCCATTTAGACCGATTGAAGCTTGGGCCATCAATGAAGGTGCTTAAAATTTTCATCTACCACAACCAGAACAACCTAAGACGTAAACAGTTAATAGCAAATGATTGGTCCCGTACCGTTAATGAGCAACATCACCTGCCATTGACCCAATCAGTTCATACCATAAGGTGAAATACAAGGGACCAAACAAAGGTAACCAAAAACATTGATTAAAATTTCTTTGTACTGTGCATAAATAAGTTGTCAAGTTCAAATTTAATTAAAATAACAATGAAGCTGAGGTGATAAAGTTCTCAATTAGCAGATTTGCATGCATCTAAGAGAGCAAATAAAGCCCGCTCAGATAACTAATCAAAAAGACTGTCCGCTAAAACATTGTTTAAAACTGCAAAACATGCCAGCAACTCCAAAATTCAAAGAATAGCTCCACTGACAAGCCAAATCCTTAGATTCTTTCCCTTCTCAAAGGCAGTTTGTATTATCTCTGAAATAAAACAAAAATCAACATCAGAACATAATTTAAAAGAATAAATAAAAATAGCATTCAAAAAGCTGCCACATATAAACAAAATTGAAAGAACATCTTCAAGGCCTGAAAAATAAAGAAAAATATGCCAGACAGTTTTAGATAAATCCCACATCCAAAAAAAAAAAAGAAAAGCATCCAAGCACATAAGGCAGAAATGCACATCGTCCGTAATGAATGTTTACAGTTAAATACATATTTCACTTTCAGCACCTATGATTTCATCGTCTTTCCATAATGGAAATTTAATCTCAAACCAAAAGGAAAAGATACTGAATGGTAAATTTACGTTACTAGTTGGGCATGAAGCTCATATTCAACTGGCCGCTGGAAGGAAGACCCTAATTAGTTCCTTAACAGTGACTCTTTTCCTGCAAGTAGGGCATTTTCCCTGGGCAGCTATTGCAGCTTTAATGCACGCCTTGCAGAAAATGTGCCCACACCTTGTGGACATCTCCTCAATTAAAGAACCCATGCAAATTGGACAACTGAAGGTTGGTTCCTTTGGAGGTGGCTGTGGCTCTATAATTTCCTCAACCTGCCAATTAAATAGTTATTGAGTCTTAAACATTCACAAATTTAATAAAAACCAGAGATTCAGAAGCATGAGAGCACATGCATGGGCAACAATAGAGATGTCTATTCACAATGTCTTAGATCTGATGACCAGCCAAATACGTACATTCTTTCCTTGAAAATATTTTACATTATCCTTTGAACAAAGCACCATGAAAAGAGCTATTACCACAGTCGACTTTGCTGCACTTTCTAAAATGATATAATGATCACAATTGATAACTGTTGGACTTGGAGGAAGTCTTCTGTGCCTGTTCTGATTATTATTAGTTGACCTAGCTGGCCGGCCTGGAAGGAGAGAGATGTGAGCAAAACCAACTTGAAACACCAAGTACTCTAGTGTTCAACTACAAAGAATAAATAAAATAAACAAAGAACCACCAGTCTCTAAATTGGTTGACCTAAGCAGTCACAACCGTAAGACTAGATTGGACAAGAGAGTTGCCAAGCAATAACATCTACCTCAGTTGAGGTCAAGATTTGCTTTGTTCTAGTGCTTGAGCCATTGACAAACGGTAAACCCCACCTCACAAACCACAGGCCCCAAATAAGGGCAAAGAGGTAGCTTTAAAAATCAGAGAATTGTGAATATTCTGCTCGGTGCTCGCTAATACTTAACATAAAGCAACCACACCAAATAGATATTTTGAGAAAATAGGGACATCATAAAGCAAAGTAAAACTATTAACACCACCTTTGATTTTATTTCCATTTTAGTGCAATTCTCAAAAGTACATAAAGAAGTATTTGATCCATCAGCTTCTTCAAATTAATTGCAAGGAACATAATTCACTCGGATTTTGTGTTTGGTTTAACCAGACTGTGATTGTTTGCTTCTTCTCTTTCAGAAAATTCACATGCAGAATATAAATCCAGGTTCCTTTCCTACTCTTGTTAGTCATTTCAAATTTATCAAATATGAAAAAAAATGAACTATAATTCCTTAAAACAATTTAAGGGTATGCTAATTTGTCCTAAATCAAGACAGAGATCAAAATCTACAAGACATTTACCTGCAGATTCTTTAAGTTAATGAGGCCTCAAAAAAGTAATTTCCAAGGAATCTTTTGACCACATGAAAAATTAATAGAATGAATTCACAAGATAGTGCATGAAAATAAGCTTCTGTTAAGCAACATGCATATGACAATGCAGGTAGCAATGATCGAAACAAATATCATAAACGTCATTCCCTCTTAAATTTAACTACTGAATCTACATCAACTAAAACAGTCCTTCCTCGGCTCCTCCTTGAATTGGTTTTAGCCTGAAATAAAATCCCAAGAGAAATTAATAACAGTTATCATGATGCAAATAGATCCATAAAACAGATTTCATGTCCACTTAAAGTGAGAAAAAAAAAAAAAACAAACAAACAAGAGAAGCATACTCTGCAAATGCTCTAGCAGAAGATTCAATTACATCATCATCAATAGCTCACATCAATAGTTGCAGCTGGTGCAGGCTGGTTAGTCACTTCCTCAGGCTCAGCCTGTTTGCGAAGTACCCTCCCTGTTCCTGATTTCACTGGGAGGAACATTTAGATCCAGCACTGCCTTCCTCGTCGATACCCTTTAAGAGAAGGCCCCCTCACATCAAGAGTGCTCATGCTCTGCTTATGGTTTTCTATCCACAAATACAATATCAAGCTTTCACCAAAAGCAAACAATTGTTGTAGTTGATTTGAGCGATAAAAGGTTCAATTAGTTTCATGAGAAAAATAACACTTGAAAGTCTAAGAAACTTGCTAATTACATTTAAACATAAAGAGTTCAATCTGGATAGTAACACCGCTAAAGCAAACAAACCTTGTGATTTATAAGTGGCAAAAAGTCCAGAAAATGCACAGAAAGACACTTTATGCTTTTGATCTTTAAATAGAAAAGGAAAGAGACATGGGAATAGTAATAAAAGTAATATTCTAGCATAAAAAGAAGACCTTTTTCACAAAATTAGCTTTGCTTCCTTCAAAGTTCAAACCAGCAACAAATGAGCTGAACAATTGATCGCCATATTTCCAGTTCAATTTTGTTTATTAAATTTAAATTTAATCAAAATTCAAACTCGAATCACTGGCAGGATAAAAAAATTCCACAAGCAATGAACTGTGATCAACCGATAATCGAATAAAAATTTTAAAATTTAAGAAATTTAATCGAATTTTATTTAATAGCACACATCAATTGAAAAGACTAAATGTAGCCCTAAAAGGCCCCCAAATCTTAAAAATGGAACATCAATCAGAAGTCAGAACGCCAATACATTGAATCAAAACGAACTGGAAAGATAAAAACAAATTGATAAGAAAGAGAGAGAATGAGTGAAAAAATCGTACCTTGAAATCCTGACGAAATCGAATCGCTTCAAGAATTGAAAAAAATGACCCCCCCCCCCCCCCAAAAAAAAAAAGCCTTGAGAAAATGTTCCCTGTCTAGGGTTTTTGAACAGGGTAAGATTTCCAAGAAGGGACGAGAATGGGAGCAACTGGGATGCACCAACGTGGAACAGAAACTTGTTAGTTTTCTTAGACACGCGCGGTCGGTGTGACTTGACAATCTCCAGTGGCCTGATCTCTTTCAATTCGTACACGTGGTAGCTCGCGTTGGCAGCGCGTGGTGATTCCAATCTGTTACTAGGCGCGTCCACTATTTCTGTGACTGAATTTTTTCTATAAAATGCCCGAAGAGAATTTCGTCGGATTGATGTTTTTATTATATTTATTTTTAATAAAAATAAATATATGGGTGCTGCTAAATGCTTTCAATCTTTTCTTTTTGATCTCAATTTTTATAAATTTTTAAAAAATTATAAATCTTTTCGAAAATTTATTTTTAAAAAATCATATAACTTTTTGAAAATAGATTTTTAAAAAGTTATAAACTTTTTAAAAAATGAATTTTCATAAAATAAAATTATAAAAAAAATTTATGATTTTTTAAAAATTTATTTTCAAAAAATTTTATAATTTTTCAAAATTTTATTTTTAAGAAATTATATGACTTTCAAAAAATTTATTTTTGAAAAATTATAAGATTTTAAAAAATTGTGAGAAGAGTAATTAAATAATTTTGCTTACAAAAAATAAAAAAAAATAAAAAGCTAAGGTGTGAAAAAAAAAAACATTTAGCACCTCTCTAAAAATATCTATAAATGGGAGTCTAATAAAATAAAAATAATATCATGACTTATTATAATTTTGAGAAAATAAAATAAAATTTATTACAACATCATGTGAAATAAAAATATTGGAACAAAGTATTTAAACAATTGCGATAAGATAAATAATATTTTTTATGATATAATTTAAAAATATACAAAAAAAAAATTAATTTTATTTGAAAATAATTACTATTGAGCTAAAAAAAAATTAATATTGCACCAATGAATTATTCCAAACAAGCTAAAAAATTTCACCGACGGTCAGGATTGAAATACCATTGCGCTAAAAAAGATTGAAAATTGGTCAAAGATTAAACTGGGATTTTGCTTGTTTCTTAAACTTCCTAAACAGAATAACAGGTACTAGTCTAAGCATTCATGCATGGTCAATAGCAAAACAATGCTAGCATATGCCTGGTTATTAACCAAATTGTACCATACCATAACCTTTGATCCATCCATCGACACAAAATATGAGTAGAGTTCAAAACCAGAATGAATAGCATCTATGGCAATCGGCAAACATCCTAGAATGCTAAAGTAACCTGCCAACAGAGTTGAAACTATTCTGAGCAGACAACTATGTTAAGAAAACTTCAAGCACATCCCCTGACAGTTTCGACGAGCAAAAGTGGACACAATACGTATAGAATACAATAAAAGAATCTGCATATGATGTTTTCTAACCAAACATAATTGCAATGTAAAGTGGTGTACCAAAATAGACAAGTTAAGAGTGACAAAGAGAAGATAACTGAGAGAAAGGGGAAAAAAAACATGTTTTAACAAACAGAATACTATGTTTATCATCACAAAAAAAGGCACACACACATAGAGATAATAACCGCGCTCCAGTGAAATTACTCTGCTTTGAAGGAGGCTTCAATGTATTTACAATATTCCACACAACTTATAACAAATCCACAAATTCAAAGGACTCATTTCCTACACCATGGAAAGCAGCAACTCTGGGGAAATGAAGAAATAAATACAAAATTAGGAATTATATATACTAAGATTTTTTAGAAACCACAAGCATTACAGCCAAAGGCTTGGTAAGGTTCCCAAACAACATACCTCAGAACCGCTGTTGGTTGGCTTCCGATCCCGAGCAGTGTGGTATGGAGATCGCTCACCCGGCATGCCTGGTACCATGCCCCCGTTGTTTCTCTCTTCTCGCACCTTATTAAAAATGTGAGTATAACCATCAGCTGATGCCGGGTTATTCTCATCCCAGTCACCAAATTTTGGTACAGCAGCACCTTTATCTGGCTGTGTCACCAGAAACCAGATTATTAGCAACAAGTTTTAAGAAAATAACAAGCTTTAAAGAAAGTGATAATTTTTTACATTTGGACTAGTTTGTCTCAAGAGGAGTCATCACCTGGGGAAAAGGGCAATGAGCAAATACAATAGTAAAAATTCACACAATCAGCCCCAAGCCAAGCAAGACAGGCATAATGTATTACCCATTTGATGCTTTATCAAGTGTTACAAAAAAATATCAAAGAAAAAATTCCCTGCTAGATGATAACATGATATAAGATATAAAAGGCTTTCTATGAGGCAAGTACCAAGCAGGCTGCCAATCATGAAGACTTCAAGTTGTTGATTAGCTATGCTTTAGGTTTGACCTTTTTTGGGAAAAAGAAGAACAAGAAAAAGAAAGAAAATCATCAAGAAACATGTAACAAGAAGGAAATAGGACATTTTCAAGCCCACCAGCAGATCCACAACACACTTATTTTCAAGTTTATGCTATTTTTGACAGAATAAAATCATAGAAGGGAATAGAATATACACTTTCATCGCCTCTAGTACTCGGCCTCATTCTTGATCTCCCAGGAGTACCATGGCTAGTATCATATGAAGTCTTTCCTTCCCATGCAGGTGATGCCATGCTTCCTCTACCTGTGACCCGTGCCTGGTGATGGAGTGGGGATTTGTCTATACTGTTTTCAGATCCAACACTTGATCTTGTAGGTCGTTTTGGGGCTTCACCAGAACTTACTCCACGGCCATAACGTGAAGGTGTAGAGTCCCCAGAAGCTCTGCGGTTGACATTGTCATGATGTGAGGGAGAGTCAGCATATTGCCTGAGGTCAACCTCTTCCCTGCTCCTTCCACGCTCATGTGCCCTTCTAGCAGGTCCATGTCCTCCCACTGGTTCATCCACTTCGGGTTTTGCTCTGGAAGCAGCAGGAGCTTTAGTTGGAGCTACATGATCATGATGTAACTCTGGGCTCTCTTGGGGATCATTCGGATTTACAATCTTTCCTCCAGTGCGACCCTGACGAGCCTTATCAAAATAAGCTGTGTAGAGAGCATTCTCTTCACTCTCCCAATTGCCAAACTTGGGTACATGAGAACGTTGCTGCAATAGCAACAAAAGCTTGTTATTAGATAAAACACAAAAAAATTCTCCTCTGCTATTAATAGGGACAAAGATTAGGAGGTCATACTCATACATGGAGCAAAAATAATTCCAAGATCCCTACAATACAATCCTCTTCACACACTAACCCCTCTAGCAATCAAGAGGAAAGTTAAAATTTCAAAATATGAATTTTCTCCATCTTCTACATCCTATTCAATCCACATTGTTGGATGCTCCTAAATTTTCCATTATCAAATTAAAACAACAAAATTTTACAAGGCAATTTGATGCACAGTAGGAAACAATACAACATAATCACAGATAAGGAAAACAAGCAATCATGTGATATATAAGTTCATACAATAAACAAATTAAGATTCAACAAAATTAAAGACCACAATCTCAACCATCCTTAGCTCATTTCTGTAAATCAATTCCCTCAAACCAAAATTCACAATAAAGAATCTCAAAGAGATTAAGTAAAACTCAATTAAAGAACCAAAAGAAAAAGAAAAAAAAGAGCAACAATCTTACTTAGCTTATGTTTATTTCTCTGGTAAAAACAAAAAAAAAAATGGCAATAAACAAAAGCACAAAAATTCCATAGTTCTTATCTTTCTTTTTGTGTTTTGCAATTTTCTGAGGAAACAAACAGAAGAATAATGTAAATTAAACCTAAACAAAAACAACAGAACATAAAGATAAAAACTTACTGCCATTTCTCTCTCCAGCAAACTTGAGAAAGAAAACCCAGAATCCCCAAGAGAACAAAGGAAAAAAAAATCAGCTTCTTGGTTATCAAACAATTACAAACAAAACCCAGAAAAAATCTACAACCTTTTTAAATAACCCTTCAACCGAAATTCAAAGATGAAAAGAGAAAGAAAGAGATAAAGAGAGCTTTAGTGAGAGAAAGAGAGAATTTTGAGAGAAAATTAGAATAAAGAGAGAGAGAGAGAGAGAGAGAGAGAGAGGCTTATCAACCATTGACCGACGCCACGGGTAATGTTTGACCATTCTCTCCGCCCCGCTCTGTCTGTAAAAATCTATGTTTCCTCTCAGTTTCAAACGTCTCTCTCAAGAGTCAACCTAATAAAATTTCGTCTTAGGTAAATTTCCACTCCTTCCACACTAATTACCATCGTTCCCCGTACGGTGAAAAACCATCATTCGGTATTGGAAGGAATAAATTTGGCGCTGAGAATAGCAGCTTCACGGCTCCGCTGGCTAGCTGCTAACAGTCTTTAATTTAACGCTATAACCGTTAATGGCGGCTGACTTGTCATAAAAGTTGATGAGTATGTCTTTCTCTACGGTAAATAATGTTTTTTTTTTTAATATTAATTACAATTTCATATCCATTTCCGATGCCTTTCAATTGTTCAAACTTTTTAAAAATATTAACTTTTTTTTTTTACTAAACTAAACTTTGAATTTAATCGTCCGGTTAGGGTTTATAATTTATATTATTTCTTCTTTAAGAAATTTTTAAGGGAAAAAAAACACGTGTTGTCCACTTCTAGAATTTTTTTTTTTAGTAATATTATTTGGTATGATTCATTCAAAAAAAAAAAACTTTTAAGGGTTTGGTTTGTAGAGTATATTTGTATATAACAATCATGTTCGTTGTCCCAATGATTATATTTTTTAATATTTTAATGATTTTATTATTATCAACTTTAAAACAAAGATATAATCAAGAATTGTGCAACTATGGAGTTTTTTTAGAGATAAAAATATTAAATATATTAGTGATTAACAACTAATGCTTAAAATCAAAGCAATTGATAATTCTATTATTTATTACTATAGTTTTTATCGTAAACTTAGTAATAATATAAAAATATATATTTGGTATACTATCAATGCATAGATTATATATATTGTTAATGAATCAAATTATAATAAAATATTAATAAAATAAATCAGACGATGATATCTCATTAATGAGTAAATTTTTTAAAAAATTTTAATGTGTAAATTTATTAAATATTGATATTTATTTATTAATGAAGTATTATAAAATCTATCTATTGACAGTGTATCAAATATAAGCTCAATTAATAATTGTTAATTGTAAGTAATTTACATAAAAAAAATCTCTAATATAAGTAATTTACATATAAGTAATTTACATCTAATTTACATATCAAATGTAAACTCAATGAATCAGATGATAATAAATCATTAATAAAGTGAATCAAACGATGACACATTGATAATAAGTAAATTTTTTTTAAAATTTTAATTTGTGTAAATTTATTTTAAGGGTTGATATTTACTTATTAATGAAGTATTATCATCTGATTTATTGATAATATATAAAATCTATCTACTAATAGTGTATCAAATATAAACTCAATTAATAATTGTTAATTGTAAGTAATTTACATATAAAATCTCTAGCAACATGCCTAATGAAACTATGATTTATTGATAATGAAGTGTCATGAAATTTCAAGGTTTCGGATCAAGTCTTAGATAAGTGTGTTTTTATTTTTATATTATATTTATCTAAATATAAGTTGATTCGTTGTTGTGTCTATTTGATGTAGATTTTTTATTTTTTATATGTAATATTTGAATATGATTATTATTTCGTATAAAAAGATCTAGCAATATTTATTTCTAATCAAATGGTCATAATTAGCAATGTGTGTTTCTAAGGATGTAATGATGTGTGATGCATATTTAACTTGCCTTATCAAAATCAATGTATGAACTAATTTACACTTACAAAACAAATTATTTCTTTGCAATTGGGAGTTAATTATAGGGTTTCAAAAGCAATAAAGAATGAGACTTTGGTTCTTTTGAAAAACTTACTTTAATGATGTAGACATTGAAGGAATCATATGAACTAATTTACACCTACAAAATAAATTATTTCTTTGCAATTGGAAGTTGATTATGGGGTTTTAAAAAGCAATATTAAGCAATGGAACTTACTTTTTCTTATTTTTTTATACTTTCTCCTATTATATAAGCATTAGAGGAATCGTGGAAATTAATTTATTAAAAAAACAATTATCAAAATTACACTTAAAAGAAAATTTTAGTTTCGTTGAACTTATAATTTTATTCAATTGATTTATATAATCATTTTAAAAAAATATTATATAGTAGTTTTGGGATTTAAATTTCTCTTACGATATATTCATTGGATGAATCATGAAAGTTAAATTACGAAAAAAAAAAATCAAAATGATACATTTTTTTTGGTAAAATTTCAATTTTCTTGAACCTATAACTTAATTCAGTTAATTTATATATCATTTTAAAAAAATATTATAAAACAACTTTAGAATTTAAATATCGATATTTACAATATTTTATTTTCAAATTACGATATTTTTTATAAAAAAAAATTAATTTCCATCATCATGTCACTAAATCTCTTTTCATTTAAGTATCTAAATCTCATTGGGCTACATAAAGTGCTACTAATGGATTTTTATTTAGGTTGTTTTAACACAATAATTAAGCTATTATTCATATTCAATGTTTTCAAAAAATCAAAAAGAAAGGGTTCTTAATTTGCATTTATGTTGCAAACTTTTTGTGAGATGGCCGGTGATGTGGGTTGACAACATGGGAGAGGCTGGCAAATGTTCCATAAAACTGTCTTGTGATAATGGTTCAAGCAATGCAAAACTATAATTTTCTAACTTTTTTACCTATGATTGCAAATAATCCTAAACATTATTAAGTTAAAAACTAAGGGATAATTAGGCTTTTACTTTTTATTTACGTTTAATTTAATTTTTAAATATTAATATAAAATAATATATAAAATAAAATAAAACAAACTAAAATTGGTTGTCATTTGGATTCAACTGCATCTCCGATACAATATAATTGAATTGAATTTTATTATCAATTAAATTTAAATATTAATTATAGTAATATACATTCAGTATAAATTTTTTATTGAAATTTATTTTTTAATTGTATTACAATAAATTTTATTACTATTTTCAATTCATTACAATGAATTTCATCATCCATCTAAACAAAACCTTAATTTAAAAAAAAATGATATCATAACCAAATCATGAATACTTTTAACATATATCACATTTGAACAATTTTAAAGTCAAAATAAAAAAAATTAATGTAAAATTTTAAATTCTAATTATTGGAATATTCTCTCAAATGCCACTTGCTCTGTTTTACAACCACTCCTTGGTGTCATTCACACCTTTAGTATAAATAAAAAATATATATAATTTTTTTTCTATGATAATTAAAAAACGAGAACAGAAAAAAAGGTCAATGAATTTTTTCCGCAACTTGTTACTCGAATATTATTTTAATTTTTTTTTTTAAAGCATTGGAGTTTGTTGGCAAAGGGCCAAATGCGTTGAACTTTGACATCGCAATTTTAATAGGACAAACATATTTTTCACATTATATATATGGTTTTTGTAATGATTTTGAAATTTGGAAAATAATAGGAAGAGTTTACCTTAATGAATAGATTGCGGAGTTATGTCAGCTTTGGCATGCTGATGTTACAAGTTAAATTAGTGATTAATTAGTTGAAATTTAATGATTAGATTTGATTCAAATCTAGCTCAATTAATAAGAGATCATATCTAATAAATTTGGAGTTGAAATTTATTATATGCTATAATGACCTTATTTATAAAAATAAAACATTTATGTAATTTTTTTTTTCAATTTTGTCATTTTCATTTTTAAAACCCATTCCTTATACACATATGTTGCATTTAAATCAACTAATTAATAATTAAAATTTGATCAACACGATTAAGTTCTTGAATCATTCAGATAAAATATGTCCAAACAATCACGTCATCTGTTTTAAGGGAAGAGCTTGTCTTTCACCAAAAAAAAGACTTACCTAAGACTCCACTAATGATTTCTCAAAATAGTTACTTTAGAATCAAACTATCAACACTCAACTTTTTTTGAATCATTACATGTTGTATATATTTGCTTTGAATCATTAAATGTAATTTTCATTTATTCATGTGAACTTTTATCGAGCTTCATACAAACATTTTATTAACTATCAACTGTATCAGTCAGGCTATTACCCTTTATATTAATATAGAAGTAGGTAAAAAATCAAATGTTTAAAATAATATTGACTAGACTCAACATCTTCTAAACTTTTTCTTCATTGGAACTTCTCACATGGACTTTATCATCTTCATCTTTATCTTCCTCCTTACTTCTTAACCTACTCATACATCATATCGATTTAAGCGTAGAAATACATTTTGGAGTAACAATTTCGACATCTCATAATCGTATTTTTTGATTGTAGGTTACAGTTATCTATGTATAAAATACATAAATATTAATGTTTCGTATATAATTTTTGTACCAAAAAAGAAATTTATAAAATCAATGAAATGTATTTTCTTTATGTAACATAATATCTTACGTAACAAAAATCTTCGAAGATGAACACCTTTACCCCTCGACACAAAAAAGGTGGTTGAGGGACATTACTAACCCACCACTACAAGTTAAAGCGACGATGAGTGATGGCTTCTTAAGGTTTTACCGTTGTTGAAGTCCATGGAAGACTTTTTTATGGATGTAAAATCACAATCGAATTGAGTTTAAATTTTAATTTAATTAATTTATATAATTATTTTTAAAATATAATATTTAATTAATTTAAAATTTGGTAATAACATTTTTTATTATTAAAACGTGATTTTTTTCAAAAATCACTGACAAAAGTAAGTTAATGTTTCTATCATTTCATTACATGATTGTTGACTTTAAGACTCTTGTCCTAAGGATCTTCTCATGAAGATTGTCGTGTGAGCTTTGCGTCCACATATCTAAACATTTAAGTAACCTATCAAAATGTTTTGAATATAAACATGATAATTTATTTATTTATATGACATGGTATAAAATATTAATAATTTATATATTTATTTTATATTTTATATAAAAATTATGTATTATAATTTTTATTATTATAAAAATATAAAATATATATTTTAATTTTATCAAATTTATTTATGATTTATCTTTCACCCTTTAATTTAATGGCTAAGAGCCTTTGGAGAAAATACGTGGACGTGGATTATAATTTCGTCATCTAATTTTTTTTTAAAGATTTTATCTTTTTTAAATAAAAAAATTAAATTAAATTATTTTTATATTATATTATTGTGATTTGTAGGTATAAAGATCTTTAATGGGAGTTGCAATATAGTAATGATGTGAAAATTTCTTTTATAAATGATTAGATTGGTGATTAAGAAATGAGACTTTGCGTGTTGGAAAGGAAAGATACGCAAAAAGCTTTCTTTTTCAAAAAGATTAGTATACTTTTTTTTTTGTTGGTAACATGTTGTTTTCCATCGTTTACTTCTAATAGCACTTTTTTATTTTATTTTATTTTTATTTTATTCTCAATATGACTTTGTGATTTTTGGGTTCTGTCTTGCCCACAATACAAGCAATGCTAATGCTTCAAGTGTTTTTCATTGAATCAAATAGCTAATATATCCTACAATTCATTTTACCATTCTGTTTTCAACTTCCATCATTGGTACCAAACTGCAGTTTTCCAAATTCTTTCTTCCTTGCTGCTATAACTAACAAAATTTAGCAGAACTTCTGTATTAAAACCTTTAATTTAGTGACTTTATGCTTAAATTCTTGTAAAAAATCGTATGATATGTTTGAAAAAATATTAAATTCTTAATTTTAATGATTAAAATCAATTTTTAATAATTTCAAATAAAAAATTAATTTTTTTCAATTAACTTAAAAAAAGTCTTTAATTTTTAAAAAATTTTTAATTTACCCTTAAATTCTCTCTTATCTTATTATCTATCTGGTTGAAAAAAATATTATGTACATAAACTTTTTTAAACAGTAAATTTTAAATATCAATCATAACTAATTCAAAGATAATCCACAAAAAAATCTATTTTTAAAACTAAACATTACTTACAATTCTTAATTAAAAAAAAATTACTTAAAATTCTTAGCTCAGCCCATGTTTCTTTGACTTGGGCTAAGACATTGCATATCAGGCTTGCAGCTGCGGCTCCAGCGATGTCCTTTGGGCCCAGTGGGCAGAGGCTCTTTGAGATTTTGTTCTTTTTTCACAATCAGAGCGTGGAGATGAAGAAAACTGAAAAAGACAGCAAAGACAGATGGACAGACAAACAGTCCACTTGGATTATTGGAATGGCATTTACGTAATTCACTCCCGATGCACATCACTACTCTTGGTACCTTTGTCAAGCAGGACAGGGAAATGTACAGGAATGTACAGGCTTTTCAGGCTTTAACAAGAAATTCTTCATTCCTCCAAAAAGCCCGGCTGCCCTGTCAAAGTACAAATCTACACCGTATTCTGTATGCAGTGTACAAGAAAAGTACAGCAACAGTTTCTGACTTTCCTCCAATCTTGCATAAATGTTACAAACAAAGCTCCTTACTTGTTATACGACAAGACAATCATCTTACCCACAACCAAACACTGCCTATCCTAAAAAGAAAAGTCTTCTTCTAATGCCTTCTAGTTGCTTTTTCGTACACGTAGTTTTTGAGTTTTACTTTTGACAAGTGCCCCTTGTTTTTTTCCTTGTTAATCTTTTTTACGCCTAAAAAAAAAGCAAAACCCATTAACGGATCACACACCACTAATCCTCAAAAGAGCTTCTTGCTTTCTTCTTAAGGCTAAATGTGCAGATCTTTAGCCTTAAATTCTCATTTTCCAATGATAAAACCTACTTTACTGAAGTGGGTTTTTGAGTTTTTGTGGAAAAACTAATAGCTAACACTCAAAATCAAAGATTCTTAGTAGTTTCTTACTGATTTTTTTCATTTCTTTTTCCCTTTTATTGATGAAATTGTTAGCCATTGAGTCAAAATTAAGTCTTTTTGAGAGTTGGAAGCTAGGATGATTCAGTTATTGTTTTTGGTTCTTTTTGCTGAAGGCGTTATGGCATTCCTTCTATCGGTAAAGATTGGGCCTCTGAGAGAGCTTGTCATGAAGAGTTTAGATCAGTTGAAGATGGGGAAAGGTCCGGTTACCATGAAAACCATTGCTGGTACCATGTCTCTGATTCTTTTATCGAGTCTAATGAGCATTATCAAGATCCAAAACAAGGGTGCAAAGCTTGGTACCATGTCACCTATGGATCAGGTTCTATCGAGAACCCATTTGCTTGAGGCTTCACTCATGGGTATGATTCTACTCCTTTTTTATGGGTCATTTCGTTTTGCCTCATCAATTTTGCTTGTTTATCATTCACGTGAAGTCAATGCTAAACTTCAGTAAAAAGACTGTCAATCACACTAACCATTGATTATAAACTGAATTAGCTTCATCTCCCTGATATTTGAGTGAATGACTGTTGCATTTCAAGACCTCCTTTTGGTGGTATCATGCCATGTTTGACAGTCTGAGCTTGATCTTGTAGGTTTTGCCCTACTTCTTGGGTTCATAATTGACAGAATGCATCATTATCTTAGAAAACTTAATGGGTTGAGGAGTAGTACGGCAACTTCGAAGGAGGAAGTTAAACGACTTCAAAAAGAGAGAATGCAGCTTAAAGAGAAGGATGACGAAGCTTCCAAGGAGATAAAGCAACTGAAAGAAGAAGTTTCCACTCTATCAGAGAACTTGAAGAAGCTGAAGGTGGAATCTGAAGAGAAAGACAAAAAGATTGAAACTGCTGAAGCATATGTTGTTTCTCTACAGAAACAATCTGCATATTTGCTACTTGAGTACGATCGCCTATTAGAAGATAACCAAAATCTTCAAAATCAAGGTCTAGGATACATGAAATTTTGAAGGACTCAAAGAAATTTGTGCTTCGGGTATTGATTGGTGTGTCTTGTGGAGATCAAAGGGGTCTGTGCAGTGGGGGATAGTAAGTAGCCTTGCCTGAGCACAGTTGAAAATTTTGTACCAATTCTCTTGAATCTAGAATTCATAAGTTTGTTCAACCTTTTGTGTTTAGCAATAGTTGAAACAATCTTTTTGATAGTCATTTTTGTCCCCCTGCTAAAAATCATTAAACTCAGAGGCGGATCAACATTGGCAGGGTGTCCATGGATACTTTTAAAGATTGAAAAATAAAAAAAAAATCGATAAATTGATAAATCTAGTTCTTTAAATTTTGAATACTTTCAAAAAAAAAAAAAGAATCCGTGATAAATACATTGTTACATCATAACCATACAGTGATTTGTCAAAAGCAAACATGCCAAAGAGGCTGAAACATCTTAGGGAGAGAGCCTCCAATCTTCGTAAAAGCTATTAGGAGAATGTTTTTGTTACAAATTATATATGATAATTCATGTATTTATATTATGTAAAATATTAATAATTTATATATTTATATTTTATATAAAAATTATTATTATAATTTATATTGATATAAAAATATAAAATATATATTTTAATTTTATTTATAATTTTTATTAAAATTTTAAATGGAATCCGTTTAATTCGTATTATCTCATCTAAGAGTGTAAATAATAATATATTAATACTCGCAAGTTATTTGGGTTCGAATAAAACTCGAATTCGATTTTATTATTATCGAGTCGAACTCGAATTAAAAAAATAAAACTCGATCGAATTTTGGCAAAAGAACGAACGGCTGTCGCAGCTGTAGAAAAAGGAAAAACGTTCGCCGTCTGTGGGAATCGAACCCACGACCACATGGTTAAAAGCCATGCGCTCTACCGGCTGAGCTAAGACGGCTCGACAATCTTTCTTCACGATTTATATATAGCTCTTGTACACACTTTTTTAAAACAACAAGACCAAGCTCAAAATTTTTAGGCTAGTCGGTCACCGCTGGGTGCAGAGCAGAAGAAACCGCAGCTTCTCCAGCAATGGCCGAAATCTCAGAAGCTCATGACTCCGATTCCTCCAAATCAACGGACAATGCTAGTGAAGCACCAACTCAACCCGAATCGGAGCCTGAGTTCAACCCGAAGTTAATGCGTAAAACCAAACCCGGATTGAAGCGCCTTTTCCTTACCTTCTCCGTTCTCTTCTCTTTCCTCCTAGGTCCGCCTCTGAATATGAATACACATCTTTATAATTCTCTTTTTTTTTTTAATAAATAGCCAATAATTTTTCTTTTTATTATATTGTTTTGAAAATTGAATTTTAGGTTTGCAATTCTTATGGAAATCTGTCGAGATCTACCGTTCTCCGCTTCCGTTTCGCGAAATCGACTCGCTCTCGACTCAGCTCGGCTCGGATCATTTAATCTTCCCGCTCCATTTCCATGCCCTTTTCGTCGGCTTCGACTCCGATCCAGATCGCCTCCGTCTGTCAATCCTCTCCGAAATTACCAAGCTAACCTCTCAAAACCCTAAATGCTCCCATAACTACACTCTCTCCGTCACTGTCGACTCCGGCTCCCATTGCCTCCACTCCCCGACCACATCTCCACATTCGTGTTCATACCAGTGCGGATCGATTACCGCCATTGATTTTGATCAGAACGATGACGTGGCGATCGATGAAAGGTTGGTGCCAGTTTTTGGTGGGAAAACTAATGAGTACAGTGTGGTGGTGGTGAAGGGTGAGAGTGAAAGAGCTGTTGTGGGGAAGAATAGGCGCGCGTGGGTGGTTGTTGGCAGTGGCAGGGAGGTGGAGATAGCTGTGGTGAAGGTTGCTGAGGTGTTGGTAAAGGTGTTTGTGAATGGAGGGAGAGAGGAAGGGTCGATTCGCAATGAGTTTATGCCTGTGGGAGCTGATGGGAGGATCGTTCTTTCGTTCAATTTGCTCAATGCGGATCCACGTGATTGGGTTTATGATTGGTATGAGCCTTTTTGCTGCTAACTTTTGCTCGTTTTTGTTATGATTCTGTTTGTTTATGGTGAAAATGTTTGATAGAAGGATGATAAAACTAAACAAGTGTAATGGTGCTTTTGCATTTTGATCATCTTTCTTTTCCTTGTATATGGTGTAGGGATTTTCGAAAGATTGATAATAATTTATTGGCCCCTATGATTGAGGCTTTGGGGCCTGTGGCAAACATCAGTGTAGAAAGTCAGGTCAGTGGTCATCTTCCTTCTTCATTTCGTTCATATCTTATATTCTGGTTTTTCATCTGACTGGGATTTGATTGTTCTCATGTCTAGGTTTTGTACCACACACCAAAGGCCTCATTCTCGTATTGGGATCAACAGTTGCAGAGCTATGTCTTTAGTACCAAAGATCTTCCTTTCTTTGTATGTTTCTTTAAGTTTTTGACTTCTTCGGTTTCTGTAGATTAGGATGCTGTTGGAAATGTCTTAGTGCTTTAGTTTTATTATATTTATTTATGAACATGTTTGCGTTTGGAAAAGGTGACAAGAATTTCAGATATTCTTTCTATTTGTCATTTAGTCATGAGTTATTGTACCTCTTTTTTAAAAATCAAGGGAACTTATATGTAGTTTTAACAGGTAAATTCTAATGAATGGCACTTGGATACTTCAATTGCGGCTGGTGGACGATCAAAGATACTGCAATTTGTGGTGTACATTCTTTTACTCCATTCTCCCTTTGTTACTTAACTGTAATGATTGCATTTATGGAGGTATAGGGTGTATCAACCTAATAAGCATATGACCATCCTAGTCAATATATTTTTGGTTTCATGTCCACTTTTGGAAAAAAAATGTTGATTGGACTGTATGCCAACTTTGATCTGCCAGTGTTGTTAATAATCTCTCTTGTTCACTCTCATATTTATGATTTGCTTGCACACCCGTTTCATTTTCTCAAGCTGTGCACTTTTCTCTCTGTTGCCAGATATGTACCATCTGCAAAGGAATGCCCTCTTCTTCTCCAGCTGCCAAATGGGGAGATTTCTAATACAAATGGCTTTATATCCCCAGTTAGTCATCAAGCCTTTATTATCTTCATGCCTTTCACCGGTTTATTATTCTTGTTAAACTGCTACCTTATTAAACATTGTTCTCATGAAACCTTTCAGATGTGGGGAGGTGTTATTGTTTGGAACCCCCAGGGATGTCTGAAGGATGATAACAAGCCCACTGCCAGGCGCACAATTCCCATGCAGGTTAGATGATATAACAAATTCAACAAAGAACTGTGTAGTCTCTCTCTCTCTCTCTCTCTCTCTAACACACACATGCACATTCACATTCAGATGCTGTAAGTTTCCAGAGCAACTATTGTTGTTTGTGACTGACGTTCAGAAATCAGTTTCAAACCATTTAGTTTGTGGATTTATTGCCATCCAGCTTGTACTTTGGAAAAGAAGAGAATAAGTGAATGAGTAAAATACATCTTCTATTATCACAGGTGGCTTCTATTTAGTTTTCTCGAGTTTAATGCATCAATGTTCTTGAACAGGATCTTGAGAACATGTTTGAAGTGTTCACTGGGCAGTTTCGGCAACTTTTTGGATTCAAGTCTGTCAATATTTATGCTGGTGCATCGGGCGTTTGGAACCTTTTACCTAGCGAAAGAGGTTTTACTGAGTGGTAAGACAAAATCCTAAGTCACTAGCAATTATAACTGAAACTCGTATTCCTTTTGCCAGATGGCTAATAGTATTTTCCTGACAAAAGTGGACTCAATTTCGTAGCGTTCTGATTAGCTAGTTTTTTCCTTAAATTCCAGCCAAATTTTCTTAAAATGTAAATATATTATCTTTTTCTCATTCAGTTGTTCATTCTGTCCATATTGAGACTTGAGAGTATTTCTCACTTTCAATTATTGCACAGGGAATTGGATGTATTGTCACGGCAGCACACATGTTTTAATCTTCATTCATGTGCTTCAACACTTGGATCTCTCTCAAGATTGGTATGTGTTGGTATTACAAGAGGGACCATCTGATTCAGGTGAATTTTTTGCTACTGAAGACAAATTTTAATGCAGGTTCAATCACTGCCGAGGATGATTATTATGGATGAGATAGGAAAACAGGTAAGATATAAAGTTGTATTATAAGTTTATTTATAGGAGCATTTGCATTTGTAAGCTTCTGTTTGAATATTATCATTGAACTAACATTATTTAATTTTATGGTGGTGTCTTTGAGTAGGTGAAGTTTTCTCTTGAGGCAGCAAAGCTGGCGCAAAGTAATGCTTCTAATGGAGTATATGAATCTTCAGCTGGTATGTTCCAAAACTTACCTGTTGGCTGTAGATTATTGTTCAATTGTGTCTTAAAATAATTATTTGCTCTCCAAATCTTATATCAGCAAGACTACCCTAGCAAACAATTTACACTCTTTTGTCAGCTTCCTCAAGGCAAGCAAGGTCTCTGGCAGAGGATGCTTTTTTCCACCCATCTATTATGTCTGTCAGCTACTATTCCTTCGAGCACTGTTTTGCTGTCTACTCGGTTAGTTAAATGAAACTTACACATCTTGATTAATAATAATTAATCAGAAATTGAGATTTACTTACCAAAGCATGCTTTATTACTTCGTATCTTGAGATTTTGTTTTAAGTGCTATTGGAATTAAGTGGTTTCTAATAGTTAAATACTCAATTGAAGGTTATGTGAAAAAAGAGTATATGCAGTGTTTAGTGGCCATGGAAGGGAAGGAGAAATCATTGTTTAAATGAGTGGTTTGTATAAATTTAAAGCAGGAATTTAGATAAAAAGTCCAGTGAATATTTCTAATTTTTTTGCAATATAGCATTCTTCAATTCTTTTCTTTGTAGTCATCTTTCTTTCATCCTCTGGTTGCTGAACTAGTATCTATTCATTCAAACAGATTATTAACTAGGTTACTATTAGTTGCATCGGTTTATTTGACTTGAACTATAATTCTATGTCATCTTCTATTTGCGCAGCCATTTTTTCTGCCGGTTTCTATGCATGTTGTGCTTGCAGCTCTAAGCGAACGGAGAAGATATAGAAAAGAAAAGTCAAAGTATCTAGCTTGGAAGGCTAAAGCAAACGCAGCATCTTGAGTTTTTCTGTGGATCGAAGATTGATATCAAGCAAAGGCTCCAACAGTTGGAAAGGAAGATGCCGGAGGAAATTGACAATTTATTCACATGAGAATCCACAATTTTGAAACACATTATACATGCTTGTATCCGTAGCAATTACCTGATGTCATATGCCGTAGAAAATTTATCGAGCAGTGTTGAATTTGAGAGTATTTCTATAAGCACAAGTTTTGGATATATACCGAGTGTTGTTGGTCAGTGACGAAACAACAGTTCATGCTAAAACGCAGTGTGTATACTTGATGCCAATCTTTTCTAGTTCGATTGAAGACTGCCAAAGGGAAACGAAAACCATTCCCTTGAAGATGAAAATCAACTGTCACCTCGCATCAATCAGAATGTTAAGAGGTAGATTTGTCACTTCGCAAAAAATCACACAAAAGTGTTAAAAGAGGCAGATTTGTCACATTTACATTCTCATTATTAAATTTGGCAATTCGTGTTATGTCCATGTTTGATTCGTGTTTAAACATAAAAATTGTCATATAAACTCGTATCGTTAAAATTTAAACCACGTCTTTGTGTGTTTTTCATAACATTATTTAAATTACTGGATCTACAGAACACAAAATGCGTTGCATGTAAAATTTTGCTGATTCCATACTCCATAGAGGGAAGAGGAAACCTGATGAGACTTCTCCAATTAGTAATAAGCAGAAGTTACAAAACAAAAACTGTATATTCCCTTGGGTCATCACAACCATTGCTGCCCTTGGTATATAAAAAAAGGGGGCTTCGCATTAATATAATACATGATTTGAGCTCAAAATCCCCCTTTACACTTCATTTGGATTTTACAAATGCATCAAAAGATATTTTACTTAATTAAGAGAGTGCAGCACATACATTAGTTTAAAGTTTCTAACTGAAGCATATGAGGGAGAAAAAAAGCTCTTAATCTAACACTCCATCCTTTGATTTCAATAACAAGCAAATGCAGCCATATTTTTTTGTCCATAAAGCTGAACAAGAAAGGGAAAAAAAAGTACCAAGAAGAATTGCTACATGCGGGGTCTTATCAGCCAAATCACAGCCCTGCAACAACCACTTGCTAAATCTCTGAATGTCCGCCACTAGAATCCAATGCAAGAATTATCTTCTTTCTTGGGCCCTGGAAGCAAACCAAAATAGCTTCCTAAAGGCAGAGTGCAGGGAAGAGAAAACAAGTACGAAATAGGGAAAATAGAATACTTCCTATACATGCATATAACAGAAAAAGCGGAAGACAAAAGACAGTTGCTTATTGAAGGAAATGCTTCAAATCACTTAAGTGAAAGGCACAAGTATTATGTTGGACTAAAGGTAGAAATAAAACGACATACGTTTTCAAATTACCTTGACACAAACTCAAACTAAGGATTTTCTAAGCTCCCTCTATCACTCACCATAGATACATACCAAAAATTTCAATTTATACATTTAAATATAATTAAACTATTAATTCCAATAATACTGTAAAATTATTATATGTAATAAGAAGAAGGCAAGCAAAAAAAGGGATTTTCTTGGTCAGCGAAAAAAGGAAATTTTCATAAGTTAAGAAGGGTATGCCTTGACTTTTTTAAACGATGCAAACATTTGGAGCATCTCAAATTGGAAAACTGAAGAAAACAAGGGTAAAGTAACACAATTGCTTGGTTCTGAAACCGGATTATAGCATTCATCCCTATTTTAAATCCCTCATCAATCAAGACAAACATCAAAGAGAGCTTAAAGAAAATTCAAAACATAAACCGTGCATCCACATGTTGAAGGTTCGTTTTAAGTTACCATTGGTATGCCTAATGCTTTCAGATCCTCATCAGTCATGTGTAAAAGAGCTGTCATATCAACCTGCAGAAGGAGGTTTATATCTTATAGTTATAGTTGAAGCAGAAATTCCTTTAATTTATGTAATGATTTAAAACAAGAAAAGGGGCCAATGTACAAAAAACAGAAGAAAGAATAAAACTACATACTTCCTCTACTTGAAAAGTAATTGCGTATTTTTCAAGACCCAACGACTGGAGGAAGCCTTCCACTGATGTATTAGCCTGCATAACAAACCACATAGCTTAGACACTAATAAAATAACTACCATAACATGTATTGGCAATAAAATATAATGGGGGATGGCTCTTAAGTTGCAGCTTAAACAGCAAACATATGCAGGTCAACTTTAATCGGTTCACTTCATCATACATCGCAAACCAATGTAAACAAGCCCTAGCAATATGCATGCCATTGCCATACATGGCAGGTTTTTGAACCCCCACCCACCTCTGACAGGAGGAAAACAGATAAGAAGGTAAAACAAAGCTTTACTTTTAATGTATCATGCTTGTCAATTAACAAAACAATAAACGTAAAACACCAACAAAAATTGAAATGTCAAGGTATAAAAATATCATGTCACATATTATAATATCATGCAAACAAAAATGCTAGCCATCCCTTTGTTTTGTGTTAACTTAGGGAAGAGGAAGAAAAGGATGGGGGAGCCAGGGAGGGGGTGTCCCTAACAGCCCAAAATGGTAAGAGATGATAATAATAAGCAAGAAGTGTAGAAGTTCTATACCTTTTGCTGAGCCTTCTTCCTTGCTGCCATAGTTGCAGCCCTTTTGGGCTCAGGCTCAGGAGTTTCAACTGCTACACTTTTCCAGGCTGGTTTGGCTACTTCCAGTTTTGGTTTTGGTGGATCAGCATTCATCGGTTGTGTATTCATTGTCCCAGATAATTTTTCACGAAGGTCACGCACACCTGAGAGAGTCCCCCTTCCACTTAGAGACACCTGTTGGAGACTTTTCCTTTGGAGCTTCAAACGAAGATCTCGGGCATCGACTTTGCGATCTTCACAAGCCATTAACACACAGTCAAAACCAAATAAAGATGATCTAGTTGCATCCAACTATAGCAGCAATATTTTAGTTGCATGTGATTGTGTCAGGCAATCCATACTTGAAACTTGAGGTACATCATCTTGGTAAAGATCATGTTCCCACTTGTCATCTTGCCTCTGCCTGCAAAAGATATGGCATGAAATATCTTCAAAGATTAGGAGCATTAAGGCACAAAAATGTAAATAAACCAAATTCAACTGATGCCAGGTAACATCAGCTGAAAAATCACTACAACTTGAAAAAGATATATAATACCAACACTGCTACCCAAGAGGTAAAATCATTCATACCCCTTACAAACTCAAACCACATATGCCTAAGTTCGCAAGCAACAACCATAACAATAAGAAAATTATGGAAGGTCAAAAGAATGGAGTAAATCAAAATATGAAAACAGTGTCAGCAAACTGGCTTGCTCTTACTTCCTTTCTTTGCCGCCGGGGGAGATTTGTATAGGGCCTATTGAGCACCATATGGCAAATACTAAATCATAGTAACAAAAGAATAACACATACTAGATTTAACCAATTCAGGAACCATACAAGAAAAATCTAATACATAAATATAGTGAATTTAAACAAAACCATGGTTCTCTATTTAAACGATCTTTAAGTCTAATGCACTGATTAGCTCCATCTCAAATCCTTCATAGCAAAGGCAAACCCAACAGCAAAAATTTATTCCTAATAAGGCAAATAAACCCAGGTTTTTAAAATTATTCTCCGTAGAAACAAAGAGAAATAAAGAGAAAAAACCAAACCTCTTGCCAGTAATTTGACGCCAGCGAATAGAGTTGTTAGCAAAGTTGCCATTAAGTCTCTCCTTTACCGACCTTTTACCAGCACCCTCCACTCGATCAGCATACATCTCTATCCGCTGACAAAAAAACCCTAACCCTAATCTTTATAAATCGCGAGAAAAAGCGTCGACGATGAAGACAGATTGGTTCTCTAGAGGATTTTACGATTAAAATTCTAGCAAGCGTGAGGAAAAAAAATAAAATAAAAAACCCTAGCCCTAATTTTGTGTAAGTAATTAATTTCTACTTGTCAGCAATTTGAAGATTTTGGTCTTTTTTTTTTTTTTTTTTTCACTGGTTGGGCTTTCGAATTTGGAGAGCGATGCGTAGCGAAGGATCTGTTCGAGAATTTTAAGTTCCTTCACACATCAGTCATCACCGACTGGGCGACTCTGTAGAAACAAAACGCACCGTGTTAACCAAAAAAAGAGGCGTAATCTGTTCTGAAGCCCATGAGTCCAAATTCCCTACGTTGGGTTTGTCTAAAGGTGTAAACAAAAATTTTTTGGATGAATTATTTATGACATATTTAAATTGTGTCTGTTTTTATTATTTATTAAGTTTAATAAATAATTTTAAATAATATTTTTATATTAGTTTATTAAATAAATCAAACACAAACAGAAATATGTTTGTTCATTTATGTTCATAAATAAATTTATTTAAAATTCATTCGTTTAATATTTATTTGTTATTCGTTTGTAATAATACTAATAAAATTATATTTTTATCTTTTATTTTAATCTGATTTTAAGATTCATTTATATTTGTTTAAAATTTATTTGTTTAAATTTATTTAATTATAATTTATTTATTATTCATGAACATATTCGTTTAATATTTATAAATGAACTCGTTTAATTTAAATGAATTGAACATGAATTGAGCATGAATATTTTACCACTTAAACGAACCGAATTCGAACTAATAAAATAATTTTTTATCAAACATAAACCAAGCCCGAACACATCTAAAAATAAACGAACAAACTATACACATTCCATCATTTATTCATGTGTTCATGTTAAATTCATATACAACCCTAAGTTTGTCAAGGTCGTCCATTGGTTATTCTTTTAGAATTGTTGGTTTCTTTTAACAAAATAATTGTGTGCAGAAAAAATGGAAGAAAAAAAAAACTTTTGAAGAATTTGACATTTGACTATGATCATTGGAACATCCTGATGCAGCCACTGCAATTTATAGTACGAAAGCAATCTGGTATGAATTGTTAAATTGTAAAAGAAAATGATACAAAATTGAGTCACATGGGATTCTGGAAAAACATGATCTTCTCACTAATTCTGGGATTGTTTTTCTCGTATTGTACACTGAAAACTTCTATATGTTTTAACTTCATGAAAAATAGTATTGCCAACCTACAGCAAGTCCAGCTACTAGTATGACTTTGAAGACTAACTTTGAGTTAATGAAGGATGACGAAGCTGGGGCTGAATGCGGTGGCTCCCACTGACGACCTCTAAGCTTGGCAGACAACTTTGATAGCAGCGGAAGTGGCCAACCAGTTTTTCTGGCAGCTGAATGCAGAACAATAAAAGACAAATATCAGTCCGAGGGATGACGACATAGATAGTCAAACCAGCAAAAGCTGCAACCACAACATAAGCACCGGTTTGCGCGAGCATATATAATGCAATTATACAACCCAACCATATAAATTTTAGTTTCTGGTGGTCGTTCATGATCTCCCTTCGATTACCTTTCCGAGACCAGCATTCTTCAGACCAGCATTCTTCAGATATGAGAGAGAGAAGCAAGTAATGAAGAAACAAGAAACAAACCTGTTCTACTTAGAAGGACCATAAAATTTATGAATGATTCACTACGGGTGAAGTTTTCACAACCATGCTACCACGCCTACCTATAGTTGAGCAATCCTTGTGAATAGCTGAAACAAGTCCTACTGCCAAGCTAGTGGATCGATCTCTTCTACTATTTTTTGTTATTGTCTTTCCTCGGTTAACTATGGATTCTAAACCTTGTCTCATTTGATACCATCTTCTTTTACTAAAAAACCTGCTGCTCTACGATTCACTTCCAGCTCCCCGGACATTCAGGCAGGAAATAGTTAGATTCTCAAGCAGCTTATTCTGATTGAATTGCTTACACCGGCAACTGTAAGAGCAGATTCTACCCCCACATCGGAGATTGACGGGTATGAATTTGATTCTAAGTCGAAGAATGCCCATGAAGAGGGTCTTATTACAGAATCCGAAGTAACACCTTTCATTCACCTCCAAACGTGCTCACCTGACCATGTGGCTAAGTACTCTAAAAGATATACTGATAGACATTATTGATATTACCAAAGTTTGCATTGAACTTGACAAATTAGACTTGTGTGATATTGACCAACTAGCATAAAGGGCTATCACCATGATAATATAGGAGATTAATGTTATGAACTTATGATTTAAAACCATAATTTAAAAAACCACATTCTCAAGAGAACTGATAATGACCAATCCCTTAAGATTAATGTACCTTTGTCTTTAAGAAATCTCTCCTCCTCAGCAACACGCCTTCGTAGTACATTGACCAATGATCTAAAATACAATGCAAACACCATGCACGTGATTGCGATAACATTGTAAGGCATGCTAAAATCAGGTGTTGTCAAAGGTACCAATAATACTTCTGTGTAAGACATTACAGGACTTTTTTCCTGCATGAGAATCAAGCTAATACCAAATGAGAAGAAGAATACAAATTGATCATGTTTAGGACCAGAAATATCAAGATTAATACCTGAAACTTTGACAATAAGGGTGACTTGTTCAAAGAGTCATCTTCGAGAAAAACCATGCTTGCATGGAAGTTTGGAAAGCTTATAATAGCTGATGGTATGTCAAATCCTTGATTAGCATCAGGGGGATATTCATCAATATGTAAAAAACCCCATTCAGACATATAAAAACAGAAGATCAACTAGTCAACGATACACCACAAAGCAGAAATCATACTAAACTTTGGCCCATCAAGCAAGAAGCATATGCTATTTTTGTTTCATTGAAATTATTGATTTCATCAAAACATATGGTCATTATCCAAAAGCAGAAGATGTCTTAGATTAATAGCAGTATATCAGGATAGCAGCTACTTTCCATTTTCTACTGAAGCAGCAGTTTCTGCAATAAAAGTTCTTCTAAGTTCTAATATTGCAATGAATATATATATATATATATATATATATATATATATAAAAGATAGCTAAAGTTAGCTAATACTTGCGAGGATGATGGGTGCAGCCAGTGGTAATTTATCCTTCTTTTTTTTCAGACATAAGCAAAGATTATATAATTTGAATGTATTGGTGGGTTTCATCTTATGCATCCGGCTCAAGGAGTAAACAATGGGTCGAGAATCTAGAGATTGGGATACATCTAGGTCTCAACATTAACTATAACAAGTGGAATTAGTTAATCGGTTATTGTTCAAACTAGCAAACATATTCAAAGTCTGAGTTCAGATATATTATAGTGTCAATATTAGGTATATTCACAGTATTCAATTTGCTATCTTATATGACTAATTTATCATAAGTAACTTTTATAGAAATAAATTTTCTGTCTTAATCTAAAAAATTGGACCCCAATGTAGCAGAAACTCACCAATATTTAGTGCAGTTATTATTAGTCTAACATCTCACCTTTATGGACCACATTAGCAGTTTTATCCAAATCTTTAGTAACAAATTGGCTTCTCAGGTAAAAACAAATAACTTATGTTGATTGAATGGAATGTGTAAACAAGATCAACTAATAGCTAAATAAATATAATGAAAACTGCACCTTATCAAACTCTATGGTTAAAGCAGCTGATGTAACTCTGCAAGGAAGTTTCAAAACCACTTCCATTACACCAGGAGACACTTTGTCTTTGGAAGGTGAAACATTTATCTTCTCAATAATATCTGAAACAGCCTTAGGTTGTTGATCGACAAACACTTGCAGAGAATGGAAATAGACCTTAACATACCAAGGCACAACTTGAAAAACATAAACTCGCAATTCACACCTTTTATCATTGGCATTAGCACCCATGAAGCCCTCACTCAATTGTGTAGATTTTAAGGAAATAGCAATGGTACCCCTCTCATTCCCACTTCCCATCAAGAACCTACTAGCACGTAATGGTGCTTGTTGACATAACCAAACTACAGGATCCTTCCAAATAACGCCAAGATCAAATGGCTCAGATTCACTGTATTTCTCGACTGGGAACTTGTACAAAATGGATGAGCTGTTGCTATGCATACTGTTTTCTTCTATAAATACCCTTTCTGGTTTAGCAGACAACTCAAAGCTGGGATTAGTCCAAAAATTCTTAGTGGCCAAATCATTTGCTACAAGCTTTTCATTCTCTTTATATAGATGCTTCAGTTCAGACACTAAACCTCTGTCCAGTAAAAGATACACATTACTAGACTTCACAAGAACACATCTTCCACTAACTTGTTTCCCAAAAATTGAACTAAGAGACCAGCTTGGTTGAATATGTTTTTCACGAGCATGGGCCATACTGGCTCTTCGACTATTAGGCCGGAGAACAGCTGTAAGTGTCTGTTCTAATATAATGCCTGAATCCATCCCCTCTGAACCAGATCCAGTTGATGTCAAATGCAACCGCTGAGAATGATAAAAACCTCTGTAAATTGATGGCCTATCCAGTAACTTGGCAAGCCCATCTTTGTCCCGACAAGGAAGCAACTTCAGCCATGGAGTTAGATTCTCTGTGCAAACAGCTTCACGAGGCAATGTACCATACCTCAAATTGCCTGAAGCAGGTGGAAAACTCCATTCTGGGGCAGAATAAGTTGTAGTAGACTCTAGGAAGTTTATTGAGGCACAGAAAAGACCTGAGAGAGAGTGCGTTAAATTCTTCCACGAAGCATCAATCTGATGTTGTGGTACATCAAAGACAGCCCATAACTCAACACCAGGGGGCTTTGCATTGCTGCTTGATATGGGATCAAATCCACCCCAGCTTTCATAGTTCCAGCGGCCTTGTGTGAAAGACAGCTCCATTTCCTTAACTTGAAATTTCTGAACCTGCTCAAAGTCGTACTTAGTCATGCACTGTTTTCAAATACTGCAAAGACTTGGCTTAATTGCTAATCTTTTTTTTTTTTGGTGCAAGGGAGGGCCACTGGCCCTATACAAAAACAACTAGAGCAATTGTTAATCTTTTAATATCTGCAACAAAGCTACCTAACTTAATTGTTAATTTCTTAAAGTCTACAATAAAGCTATTTCTTATCTTTTCCTTACACAAAGAGAGATATAAAAAATTACTGCAACACATACACAATCACTGCATAATATTTTTCAGGTAAACTTATAGCCAAGTTTGTACTTCATGTCAGACATAACATTGTTGAATAGGTTGGATAAATTCATAAAAACATTTCATTCTCATGTATATTTATGAAGGCAGAAAATAATAAATTAATCATAACTTGAGTAGGAAAGTATCAGAGATAGGTTGAATGACATATTTAAGTATATAAGCTAATAGAAGGTTTTCAAACAAAAAAGAACCTTTATGAACTACCTTAATTGACTCAGGCCAAGCTGAGTGCTCCTGAGATAATGATTACATTTAAGCTTAAAATATACTGCATCTATTTTTTGTCATGAAACAAAAGCTAATAAATCAAAATTTTAAATACCGATTAGTCTAGGAACTTGATGCAGTCCACTAACAACTCAAATTGACTCAACCTGAGTTTAGTACAAAGAAGGCAACCTGAGGATATGGGAAGGAGCTGCAGGTGCTGGAATTTCAACCGCAAACCTGCTGTATGCTACTTCTTAAGGGCGGCTGCATGAACCTAAGCCCTGGGTTCGGCTCAGCCTGAGTTGACAACTCTATAGTCCTTACTTAATCTGATCCTTCAACCTAACATCCAGGCAGAAGCAGATCAAAAGCAAGCAAATCCATAGCCCTCCCTAAAGCACACAATGCTTCAATATTTTGCTAATAAATGTATCAAGAGAACAGGAAGATTTCAAATCTTGAGATTTTCCACCTTTCCAAACGAATACTAGATTCAGAAACTAAAGAAATCAACTTGACTAAGCTAAGCTAAGTTCTCTAACTCCATTCCAACAAAAGCAACATAAGAAAACATAAATACCCAGAAAAAATTATGTTTTTCTAAAGACCAAGAATTCCAAGTGACTCAAACGAAAAATAAAATGAAATTAAAAAAAAAAAAAGGTACCAACTGAGAAATGGCTTTGGGAAATAAATGATGATGGCGTCCATTCGAGGTAGAAGGAGGGGCAGAGCTTTGAAAATGGAAATGAGCCAAAGCTTTGCGATCTGGCAATGGCTTCAAGAGTAGTTCCTCATTGAATTCTTCTTGTTTTTGGCATTCTTCATTGACCGATCCAAAAGCAACCCAATATTGCAAGAATTGATGAGTTACTATAAGAAGGAGCACGAGAAATGGTCTTTGAAGAAGCGCCATCAATTGGTTTCCTTAGCAACCTGAAACTATGCTAGTGGGTATAGAGAATCCGCCATGCGAGCAACAACTCCACGGAGCTTTTCAAAAAATAAAAAGGGATCAGTGAAGAGCTTTATTCTTCTCAATTATACAATCTCTCATTTTATATATGGGCCACAAGGTGTTCTTGCATGTGGATTGGGCTTTGAAGCCCATTTCTTCTTGTTGCTTGGAGACTGACGGAGTCTAATTTCCAATATTTTTATTGTTCTTGAAAACTCTGGTTGGACTGTTCGTATATACGTGCCATTTATATGTTTTCAGCTAGGAATCTGGATTTTTTTTTTCACTTATAATATATATAATTACAATGAATTTATTAATTTTATCGGACAAACATTTTATGATTATATAAAAAAAAAAATTGAATATATTCATACATAAATTTGATTATTTATATATTTGTATCATATAAAATATTAAAATTTATATATTTTATTATATTTTATATAAAAATTATGTATAATGATTTATATCAGTACGAAAATATAAAATATTTTTTTATTAAACTCATATATAATTATTATTATTAAAATTTTAAATCATATAACTTTCGTATTTTATATTAATATCATATTATTATATTATATTTTAAATTATTAAATCAATTTGTTCCCATCTTAATTAATCATTGGAATCCACTCTATAAATATTTAATATTGATCATGAAATATATTTTATACAGTCATCCTCGCTTAGTGATGCAACGAGCATCTTCCAATGTAACGTCAAACACATCAAAACCATGCAAGGTTCTGTACAAATTCACAGCATAAAATGGGAAGTTCCCTTTATAAAATTGTACTATTTTTAAAGTGATATTTTGTACTTAAAAAAAAAAAAGACAACGACGACTTGAAACTAAACGCATAGTTAAAATCACGTATAAAAGACAATGTGAATATTCACCCTTGTGCTTATGTGGGACGATCTTGAATGTTTGTTAATCATCCATGATTTGATTATCAACAAGTTAAATCATACGTGATTGTTACGTTTTTCAATAAACAAAATAAAATTATGTTTGATATATAAAATAATTCATAAAATTATGATGATAATTATTATATATTATATTTTATTTATATTTTAAAAAATTAATAAAATTATAAAATAATTAATTATTTTTTTGATATAAGATTAAAGTTGACAATCAAACTCGTATACGATGAATTTCATCCCAACTCAACCTTCTAAGATTTTTTTTTTTTTAATTCGACTTCGGATTGAATTTTTTTGAAAAAAAAAAATTCAAACACAAGTCATATCAAGTTTTAAGCAAATTCACCTCAATCTAACTTGATATATATTATTTTTTATTATTTATTTAATTATATATTTATATTTTAAAATAATATTTTATATTAAAAATATTATTTTATTAATTTCAAGTCAAATTAGATTGGTTACCGATTTAAGCAAATATAAATCAGATTGAATTCAAATATAAAAAAAATAAAATTTTAATATTAGATTTAATTCAAGTATTAAGTTTATAGAACTAGATCATATTTGTGACAAGCAAAAATCTATTTTAATCTTACCTATTATCATCTATATATAAAATGATTCAATTTTTTAAAAAATAAAAAGAATTAATTTTTAATTCATAAAATTAAATTTATGTGTCTTATTATATTCTTAAAAATTATATTTATAATTTAAATTATATAAACTTTCAAAAAAAATAAATTTGATTAATAAATAAATTATTATATTTTAATCTTTACACATATGAAATATAAAATATAATAATAATATTTTATTTTATTTATAATTTTATTTTATTTTATTTTTTTTATAATTTTGTGTATCAAATATATCTCAATTTTTTTCAATTTCTGACATTTATAATAAAAAAAATTTTAATTTTTTAATCAAATTAAATTGAGTTGGATTTAGGAGCAACTAATTTCCTTATGCTGCCAAACATTTATGGTAAGAAGGTGATATATTTTCAAAAATTATTTGTGGACTTTACCATATATGTTCCCATCCAACCATATGCAACACCTGATCCCCTTACCCCACCACAATTTTCCGAACCATCCTCAGCCGTACAATTCCCATATACTCAATCTCGACCGTCCATTCCGATTCCCCACCAACGCCCACCATTTAATAGATTCCCAAACCCGGAATCTAAATCTTTATCAAATCCAGTTCAATTCCCAACGTTTCATTTCCCCACATCCGGGCGCATATGGAATCCCTTAAAACTCGCTTAATAAGAGCTCCACGTCATCAATTAGTACAAATTATATTTTCACAATATTACCTTATTGCCACTACGCGAGGACCTTCGAGTGAGTTGAGAAAGTGGAGTCCACTTGGTTGACAAGTTTATATGTCGCGTAAAATCAACGCTATTTCTTGTATTTCAAAGTCCCCCTTTTGTCTTATTCTGAGGGAACCGCCCTTTTTAAATCTCCACGCACGAGAAACCGAAGGGCGTCACTGGAAAAATGTCTGCGAAAGGGGGCGTTGGCGGAAGTGTTGGCGGAGCTAGTGGCGGAGGACAGGAGGAGGATCGGAAGCCAGCCGATCAATCTGCCCACATTAACCTCAAAGTCAAGGGCCAGGTTTTATTTTTACGTCCTTCAGATCATCTCTTTTCTTCTTTTTTTGTTTTCTTTTCTGATTGTTTGTTCTTGGCTCGTTTGTTTGTAGGATGGCAATGAAGTGTTTTTCAGGATTAAGAGAAGCACTCAGCTGAGGAAACTGATGAATGCATATTGCGATAGGCAGTCGGTGGATATGAGCTCAATTGCTTTCTTGTTTGATGGGCGGAGGCTCCGAGGAGAGCAGACTCCCGATGAGGTAAATTTCCTTGTTTGTTTCCAAACGCTGCTCTACTTGTCTTGATAGTTGATGCTGTTATTTCAAGGTTCTGAATTGCTATATAAATATGTACATAAGCTTTTGAGCTGATAATTTCGACAAGCGCTCTAAGGAGACATCTGAATATACACTTTTTTAAAAAGAAATTGTCTATTCAATGTGGCTTTTGATTGTTAATATGGTGATTTCAGAACATAAATGAGGGTACTTTGTTAAACATTGGTATGTAATATTTGCTGGAATGTTAATGGGGTTATTATGTTTCAAGGAAAACAATATTTCGTTAAGCTCTCACGGTTTTGTCGCAAAAGACACCAAAAGCCTCTACTTATATATCATAACATATATCTCCTGATGTGGGATTGTGTGTCACAGAAACTCAATGAGTGGTATATAAATATCCTTGTTGTGTGTTAAGGAAATTGATATTGAGTTATTAACTTGATTACTAAAACGGAGAACTAGCAATAGGATAAATTTCCAATATCCTACCCCATATAGTAGTTTAAATTTAGAAACTCAATGAGTGGGTTTATAAACATACTTGTGTGTTCAGGAAAGGGATACTGAGTCATTAACTTGATTACTAAAATGGACGAGTAGCAAAAGTATAAATTACCGGTATCATATCCTATATAGTAGTTTAAATTTAGAAACTCAATGAGTGGGTTTATAGATATATTTGTGTGTGCAGGAAAGTTATAGAGTTATTATGTGTTCAGGAGAGTGATAGAGTTATTAACTTGATTACTAGGTTTATAGATATATTTGTGTGTTCAGGAAAGTTATAGAGTTATTGTGTGTTCAGTAGAGTGATAGAGTTATTAACTTGATTACTAAAACGGACGAGTAGCGGAAATATAAATTGCCGGTTTCTTATCCTATATAGTAGTTTAAATTTAGAAAGTCAATGAGTGGGTTTATAAATATACTTGTGTGTTCAGGAAAGTGATATTTAGTTATTAACTTGATTACTAAAACGGACAAGTAGCAATAGGATAAATTGCCGGTATCCTATCCCATATAGTAGTTTAAATTTAGAAACTCAATGAGTGGGTTTATAGATATATTTGTGTGCTCAGGAAAGTTATAGAATCATTGTGTGTTCAGGAAAGTGATAGAGTTATTAACTTGATTACTAAAACGGATAAGTAGCAAAAGTATAAATTGCCGGTTTCTTATCCTATATATTAGTTTAAATTTAGAAACTCAATGAGTGGGTTTATAAATATACTCGTGTGTTCAGGAAAGTGATATTGAGTTATTAACTTGATTACTAAAACGGACAAGTAGCAATAGGATAAATTGTCCGTATCCCGTCCCATATTGTAGTTTAAATTTAGAAACTCGATGAGTGGGTTTATAAATATACTTGTGTGTTCAGGAAAGCCATATTGAGCTAATAACTTAATTACTAAAACGGACAATTAGCAATAGTATTTAGGAACTCAATGAGTGGGTTTATAACTTGCGTGTTCAAGAAAGCAATATTGAGTTATTTACTTAATTACTAAATTGGCCAAAAAAAACTTAATTACTAAAATGGACAAGTAGCGAACGTATAGATTGTCCGTTTATAGAACAATAATCATTCTGTGTAGTAGTTGAAATTTGGAGACTCAATAAGTGGGTTTATATGCATTTGGTGTGGTCAGGAAAGCAATATTAAGTTATAAACTTAATTACTAAAACGGACAAGTAGCAAAAGTATAAGTTTACTTGTGAAATTTTTTTAAATTCTACCCTAGGATGATAAATTAATATCATCATAATATAAGACTATTACCTCATTTTTTTTCATTGCTGCATTTCGCACTATGCATTAAATGAAATAATCTGATTGGATGCTTCCTTCAGTTTTAAAGTAGGATAAGGAGAATGCGGAATGCTGATTGTGATGGCAGTTGTTTGAAATTCACTGTAATTTATCCTTAGCCCATTTAAATGTATGTCAGTGTTAAAGTATAGGTTAGAAACGAATGATACATTATAAGCGTGATCATGCTCTTATGAATCATGTTTGCGTAATGGTCGTGCTCTTATGAATCATAGTCACATAACTTATTGCTGTGGTTTTGCCTGGATTTTGTCGTGGGTGGCTAGCTCGAGATGGAGGATGGAGATGAAATTGATGCAATGCTGCACCAGACCGGAGGTGGGTGTGGAAGTCCATAGCTGCTAATTGGACTACATTAGAAATACACAGAAAAAGCTAGGGGAGACAGGCTTGGAGCAAAGTAGTGGTATCATATTTTATTACATTTATGTAAATGAAAGATCTAGAAAACTTCTGGAACAGTGGTTTTCTGCTAGTAGTAAATTTCTCATGCATGGATATTTATTTGATGGTTTGGCCTGTTGATTTAATAATACATGAAGAACTGCAAATTTTGCTTCGGCTTTAGTGGCCAGTTGATGTTTTGTTAAGCACATCCTGATTTCCTTAAGAATGCAATTTGGGTTTGCAAGGCCAAGGGTTATTGAGTCACCTAACCTCAATGATCCAATACCTTATGTAAATTATGGTCCGATTTATTTATTGTTAAATGTTATTTAGTTTAAAATTTCCATTTTCCAATCAAAATTAAAAGGTTCTTCAAAGTATTTTTGCGATAAAAAATATATTTGAAATAAAAAAATTATTTTATTATTTTATACATATTTTTAAAGACTTTTTTAATTACTTGTTGAATTTTTTTACAATAATATCAAATTTTTAAAATTTTTAACTATCATTTTTAAATGCATTTTTTTTAACCCGATAGCAATACAAATGTAGCACTAGACAATTCCGTTGATGCTGTGACCGCTGACCATGAAGCTAATTGCAAGTCATACAGCAAACGGATGTGATTCATTAAGTTATCAAAATTTACACTAAAATGAAGGGTTCCAATCTTTATGTCTGATTTGGCAAATTAAGCACATAAATTGAGAAATAATGTTTGATTTCCATCGATAGTAATTCAAGGGAAAATACCCAAAATTTTATTATCTTTGCACTGAAAATTTCCATATTCCAATTAACCAAATATTCAACCTTTGTACTCAAATTTTGAAAGAATTTCTTGAGGCCAACAAATGTTTTATACTAAAGATTTGAAATTGCATAAAAACTTCAAAATCCAAGTCTCATTTAGCAAGAGTTTCAAGCTAAAACATCAAAATTTACCAATTACAGAGGGTCATGAGAATATGTATAGTTGCTGGGTGTGGGGTCTTGGGCAACTTTGGCCATTGCCATTGAACATAAGAGAATGTGGGACAGAGATTAAGAGCAATGAAAGGGAAAGAAGAGGGAGAATAAGAAAAGAAAAGATGTTGATGATGGAAAAAGGTGAAAGAGAAAGAAAACTGGAGAAATTTGCTCAAATTGCTTTGCCTTTTTCCATTGACCAAAAAAGTTTTCCGGTGACTAATTTTCTTTGAGCTAACCAAACATGGGAAAATACAGAAAATGGCTTCCAAAAAGTCTTTTCAGGCGTACCAAACGGAGCCCAAGATTCCTTTTTCTTACATTTTAATCATTTTCATGAACTACAAACAATTGGCCTTCGATCTTAAAAGGTATACATCCCTAAATGACATGTAAAATAGAAGGACAGTATCAAAAACAACAGAAGTTTAGCTACTTGTCTGCAAAATTAATCTATTCCCAGGTTCTGAAGGGAACCCTTTGCTTGTCATGAAGCATGAGCATCTCAAGCTGGCAAATGAAGTTTTTTGTTGTTCTTCCAGCTGCAACCATCAAGAAGCATAGAATATAAAAGAGATGATTCAGATTAATAGAAACAACCATAACTTCGTATATTAAAATTTTAGACTTTCACCTGTTAAGGTAGTAGTAGAAAAAGTCGGCGTAAAGGAGTGTCTGAACAATCCCAGAAATCCAAGCTGCAAGAGCCATAAAAGAATGTAAGAAGCAACAACCTATATAAGCACACAAGAGAGTATATCGAGAAAGGCCAAAGCCCATGTAAACATAGGCAATTGACTAGAGCCCAAATATGCTACTAAAATGGTTAAATTTTCTAGAATCAGCTTCATTCAATATGATAAAGTTGGTCATCAATTTTAACCATTCATAACAAAGTAATAATTTAAGAGAGAAACAGATCTACAAACCAGAAAATTCCTTCCAAAAGTTATTACACCACATATATACTAAAGCCCAAGGGCATCAGATGAACATGCTACCCTCTTGAGAATGTCAAAGCTAGTATTAATCTAATATGCCGTGTTGCCTGTAGCTAACCAACACCACCAGAACGATGCTAATGATATCTGCCAAGGTAACTCCATGATCACCACCCTGTCTATGTGTGAAAGGGAGGGAAAAAAACTAGGTCCAGAGCCAAATGAAGCAATTCACAAATTATGCAACCCCAAGCACTTTCTGAGTTACTACTACATTTATTTCTAGTACTAGAATCCAAGAGATAAAAATTATTATCTTACAACAACAAAGGAGAGACCATAACAACATAAGCAATATGTTAGACATAAAGCTCAAATCATAGCAACAATCTAAAATTTGACTTTTTAATGGTGTAACAACCAACAGACAAAGAGGTCCTAAAAATCCTAACAATCAACAATTAAAAAAAAAAAAACAGCTTCGATATTGATCTTAAATAAATCAAATTCAAATATTTGGCTATGTTCAACTAGATGTGGGGCATATGGCTCTAAAAACATCAACAAATAGATGAACTGTCAGTCTTTCTCACCTCTCCCACTCATGTTTTAAAGTTTAAAGGGGGAAGAAAAATGAAAGAGAAGAAAGGACCCCCTTGCAGCCTTTCTAACACAAGTTTAAAAGTTAAATCATAAACCAATTTATACGTGTATGATGCATATAGAACTTTCAAAGCAATATATTCTCTGAGAGAGAAAGAGAGACTTACGTATCCAGTGGACATAGTGTGGTTCAGTAAAGTATCGATAAATCCAGTTAAAAATGTATAATCCTCGATATGCTCTGCAATAAAAGAGAAATACATATAAGCAGATCTGTCCATTACACACATAAACATGCACATCTACTACAAAAGGAAAATTCAAAATCCTGTACAAATCAAGAAAGACATCACATCATCAAATAAATATTCTAAAAAAGAATGCCTCAATCTTTTCATTCGGAAATTCGTAACATGGTTAATGATGCATTGAGTTTTTCCTACCATACTGCAAAAAGTACTTCCAATGCATACGGAATCATATGTAAAACAACAGCTTACAAATTTTATTTTTAGTTAGCCAAAAAACCCTTTTCTCTAGCTCTCTTCAATGTAGGCTATAACTCTTAATTCAGGCCTATTATTCTTTTCTCTTTTGGTCCTCTGAAACAAAGGATATCTGACCGTAAAGAAGAGTAACAGAATCATATTACCGGCAACAAAAATCCCAAGTCATTATCTCTTGAAGCTTCCAATATAAACCTTCGTAAGGATGAAGAAATTCTGAACTCACAAAGATACTAAACTTCATTGAGTCCTAAAGAACAGTTAAGAATCCAAAACATGATGCAAAGGAAAGCCTACATTTTTATCCTGACACTGTCAACTTGAAAGTCTCAGGTTCAAACAACATATTGTTAATTGAAAAGATATTATGTTTCATACATGATTAAAAATTAAACATAAGGCAGAACCAATTCAAATAACAAATTCACGAAACTAAAACAAACCAAACAAAGCACAAGACCTAAGGGTATTGTCAATTAATTAAATAAACATTAGTACTTTTAGAACATTGGATAAGTTTAAAGCATACCCAAGAAGAAACACATATTGGCCAGTCAAGTTGTCAATGTTTCTAGTCCTTTGCAATAGCACAAGCTGAGGAAGTATAGCAACAGCTTCAAGATACAACGAAAAAGTCCACATTACCTGGAACCCATTTTCCATAAATCAAAACAAAAAAGTACAAAATGAACCGTAATTGAAAAAATTCAAGGGAAAAAAATTAAGAGACCTCCTTGAAGGTGAATTTCTCATGAATAAGAAGGGCCAAGAGCAGGCAAGGCAATAGAAGCAAATAATGGCGGAAAGTGTCTTGGTCTTTATCGTAAGATCTTCGAACAACCTTATGGCCACGCATATACCAAACAATCGAAAACGAGCTTCCCAAAAATATTAATTTCATCAAAGTGTTGTAAAGAGATATAAAATCAGTAAAAATGTCCAAGTAACGGCTAGCAAAAACGACAGCGTAAAGCTCTTGAGTCTTCAAAGAAATACCTGTGCCAATTCAAAAAAATCAAAAATAAAAAATCGAAGCTCGAAACCTAAAAAAAAATTACCGGCGCAAGATTTGATGGTGTGGATCTTGAGAAGCAAGACGAGAACGCTGGCCAGGTGAGTCATATCACCTGCTAATCTGAATATGTTCATTTTCGCTCTTCCAGATCCAAAAGCCTAAATTTCCCTTCACCTGCCCAAACGTTTCCAACGGTCCTTATTCTTTTTTTGTTCAGAGAGTGGGTTTGATCTTGTGGTTTCCAAGTATTTCATTTTCTGTTGGTTTTTCTTTTAAAAAACAAAAAAAATCGAACATCTTAACGGTGGAACCGGAGACAATGATCCTTTACCAATAAGTTTCGGCCAGGTCATCGTATCCACAGTCACATTGTGGTCAGCGCGAGACTATTGACGGCAAGTAGTGTCGATTTCAGGTTTATACCCAAAACAAGTAGAGATATTTTTGGGGCCAATTATATAGCCGTTGCCCCCAACTGCACCATGGTTGCATTTGGGCTTCCAATTACCCTACCTTTTTTTTTTTTTTTTTAAGTTTTCAATTGAAAGAGGAAGAATTTATTGAGGGTAATGGATTGTTTTAACGTAAAGGGTGTTTCTGTTTGTACTTTTCTTTTTTTCCTATATTTTTTAAAATCAATTTTAAGTAAAATTATTTAATTATTTTTATCTTAATTTTAAAAGTTTTTAATATGTATATTCAATAAATTTTATAATTAATTTATTAAATTTTTGTATTTAATAAATCTTAAAAAAAGTTACATTTAGGGTTTAGGTTTAAGATTTTCAAAAAAATTCATCTAATCAATTTCATCCCGATTTAACAAAAAAATATTTATTTAATTTTGTGAAATTCTAACAAAATAAAAAAAATTCAATTAAGGAAATTTCAAATTTCAAAAATTTTCACAACATTACAAAAAAAAAAAATTGTTTCAAATAATTATAAATTCATTTAGAATTTATTTTAAAAAAAACTATAATTTTAATAGAAGGAGTACCTGATTACAATATATGGGTATTTGGGTTTTTCTTGATTTCAACAATCTAAGATTAAAACTTTTAAAAGTTTTCAGATACATAAATTTAAAAACTTTTAAAATCTTTAAGATTTATAAATTCGGAAGCTTTAAAATAAAAGGGATTTGAAAAAAGATAATTAAGTAAATTTATTTAAAATAATTTTAAAAATATGTGAAGATAAAAAATGAGGTACAAATAAGAGTTTCCAATGTAAAATTGAAATGGTATGCATTTTTTAATTATTATAATTTTTTTTATCTTTAGTAGGATAATTAATTGTCATATCTTATTTGATCATTTTATATGTGCAATTAAACATATATTTATATTATTAATTTTAATATTATCGTTACAACATTTAATTTTATTATTATTTTTAATTTAAAATGAATCAAATTTACATATTCATCCAAATTGATCGATAATAAAAAAATCATGGCTATATCTACTTATATATTTATTTAGGATTATTTCATAATTATAAATTTGAGAAACTTTATTTGTTTCATGGGAAAGTTTGTGTTTTATATTTACTATAGGTTTGTTTGTTAGGATTAGTTCACTAAGAAGTTTGTTTCTTAGTGATATTCCATGTTCAAAAGCTTCCCACAGTCAAAGCTTCCCAAAGTCGGTGAAGGTAAGTGTTGACAAGTTATCCAAGTTGGTGAAAGTAAGAATTGAGAAAAAAAATTGATTCCAATAAAATTTTTTATTTAATTTGAATTAAATTTATATACTAAACATACATATTATATTTGGAGTGGATTTCAAACTAAATTATATATTTTTTTAATTTTAATATATATTTTAAATTTTTATAAAATAAAATAATAATTTTATATCAAAATCTATTTAAATATATTAAAATAATATATAAAAATTAAAAATAAAAATCAATAAAACAAACTAATAAAATTTGATTCGATTTGATTCGGATCGAATAAAAATTCAATTCAAATTTAAATCAAATTTAAAATTTTTATAATATTATATAATATTCAAAAAATCAAATCAATCTTAATCTGAACCGAATCATTATCACTCTTAAAATTAACAATGTAGTTCAGATGCAAATTCCATAAAGCCCCCATCTCCATGTTGTTGAAGCTGCAAGAATTGCTCATTTAACACTCTTACCAGCAAACAATGAATTAACCCAAACCCATTATTTTTTTAATACCAAAAACAACAAACTAGAAGCAATGGTAAAAAACAACTAAGATAAAAGAGCCTGGAAAAAATTAAGGGTTGCAACATCACAAATTGTCATGGACATAATATTTTTTAGCAATTTAATCAATTCCAATGAATATATCTATACATCTATTCTACTTTTAATTATGGTAATCTTGTTTTTTTTAATAGGCAACATTTGTTTTTTTTTTTTTTAGAAATATTTTATAATAAACTTTGATGTTGAGTAAAGGGAATAAATATGGAGATAATACAATAAAATTTCCACTATTCTCAATATTTATAAGATAAATTTCAAAGAAAGTACTAATAATTATATGCTTAATGTTAGATAAATATGTTAAGTTCACTTACTTTGTGGAATACCCAATATAAAGTATATAATTTTTAATCATAACAATCAATAACTTTTAATTAAGCAATTAATTTCATACTTAATATTATTATCACCGTTGTATTTACATATTTATATTATTAATTTTAATCCAATTATTATAATATTTCATCTCTTTATTATAATAATTAATTTTCATAATTATTATTTTTAATTTCATCACTCGTTCAATTGTACTCGTAATCTATTTACTATTCTTAGCATGCCTAAGTATGGTTTATTTTGTTTTTTTTTTTTTTCCTTTTTGGATCAAATCGTTTATATAAATGTTGTACCCATAGTATGTCACGTGTTAAAATCCTATTGGTGTTTCTTTATGCTTTTATTGGCCTTTATTTTTTATTTTTTTATTATTCTGCTTTCAAAAGCCGATGCAAAGGCTGACATTGTCTTTTCCGCGGTGCTACTTGTCACCAAACTATTAGTTCAGATTTTTTTTTTACTTTTTTGCATCTTTTATTTTCTTTTATTTTTTTAATTAAAATTTTTTTAAAAAACTAAAAAATATATATATATTTATAAAGATTATATTTTTTACTTGTAAGACCCATTATACCGAGCTTTATTTTTTATATTTTTATTTTTAAAAATAAAAAAATTTTATCATTTTTTTAAGCACACCTCAATGATATGTAGTCTATAGTCTCGTGTACTTTGACCATAGCATGTCATTTTTTAGGTTTTAGTTTCTTTTATTTTTTATTTTTTAATTATTTAATAAACACTTTAAAATTTATAAAATTATATATAATTTTTTGAGATTTTTTTGTTTTGGAGGTACTTATATTAATTTTTTTACCATAATTACAAATATACTTTTCATAATATATTTGATTATAATTACTATAATATCTTTTAACTATAATTATAAAAAATATCTTTTTGATTGCTTCGTTTAATGTTTTTCCTAACATAATTGTGAAAATATCATTTTATAATATAATTGATTAAAATTATTGTAATACTCTTTAAGATAATTACAAATATATTTTTTTGATTGTTTCATAATTACTCATTAAATTTTACCATTCATACAATAATATCAAATCAACTACTTTTGAAATGATCATAATATTCTTTCAAATACTTACAATTAAATTACATATATCTAAATTAATTGTACCATCTCTTTTTATATGATTAACTAAAATTATTATATTATTATTTTACCATAATTATTAAAATATATTTTTTAACATAATTTGTCAAAGTTATTATAATGCTTCTATAATAATAATTACAAAAATACCACCCAACCATCATTTGCCAAAAGTACTATAATACCTCTTCTACCATAATTACAAATATATCCTCTAATCATAATTATAAAAATATCTCACGTATTATAATTTGTCAAAATTACTATAAAATCCTTTAATCATAATTATGAAAATGCTAAAATTATTATAATACCTTCTAACCATAACTAAAAAAAAAAAAAACTATTTTGATTGATTCATACAATGTTTTTCCTATCATAATCAATAAAATATCTTTCATATTATAATTGATCAAAATTACTATAATATCGTTTATGCATAATTATGAAAATACTTTATTGATTGCTTCATAATTACTCATTAAATTTTTACATTTATATAATAATATAAAATTAATCCCTTTATAAATAATCATAATACTTTTTAATTACTTGACAGTTGATTTTATATTCATCCAAATTTATTATAATATCCTTATTTCTATTATTAACTAAAATTACTATAATACCCCCTCTTAACATAATTATTAAAATATCATTTTTACCATTATTACTCAAAGTTATCACAATGCACATACAATCATAATTACAAAAATGCCCTCTTATCATATATTTCAAAATTACAATTATGTTGCTCATATCATAAATACAAAAATACTTTTCAATTTTATAATTTGCTAAAATGATTATAATACCCTATAACCATAATTACTATAATGTATTTTTACCATAATTACAAAACTATCACTTATATTATAATTTTTTAAAATTACTATAATATTCTCTGCCACAATTTTAAAAAAAAAATGCCTTATTGTTTGCTTTATACGATGCTTTGTCTACCATAATTATGAAAATATATCTCATACTATTGTTAGTCAAAATTATTATAATATATTCTAAGTATAATTATGAAAATATTTTATTGATTATTGTATAATTACGCATTCAATTTTAACATTTATACAATTATATAAAAATGATACCTTTATAATTATTTGACAATTAAATCACACGCATTCAAATAGAATATAATGCTCATTTTTTATAATTAATTAAATTTATTATAATATCCTTTTTAATATAATTATTAAAGGACTTTTTTTTATGATTGGCCAAAATTATTATAAACGTTATTGCAATCATAATTACATAAATATCCTTATACAATCATTGGCCAAAATTACTATATTATCTCTTAAAACATCCATAAAAAATTAAATTGAATGGGTGATGATATTAGTAGCCTTTTATTCCATGGATAAATAGGTTTGAATTTAATAATTGATTAATGTTTTATAATAAGTAAATGTTATATTGGTATATTGAATTGTCATATATATATTATTTGGTTTTAATTTAATTTATATTATTTTTTAAAAAATTGTCTCTCTTATTTATAATAAAAATTGATATCTGACCAATAAAATAAAATTTAAATATTAAATTTTAAATGCTTTCAAAAAATTAAAATTTTCAAAAAAATTTAAAAATAATAAATACTAAAAAATAATTATTTTTAATTATTTAATAAAAAATTATACAATTTATTTGTTATCAAAATAACAAATTTATAATTCAAGCATTTTCTAGTTACTTTCCATTTTTATCTAAACTTAAATATTTTTTTTTCGTATCTTGAAATAACTTTCTTTTCATAACTAACTTTTATACATTTAATATTTTAATTTGAATTTAGTTTTAATCATTAATGGAAATGACCTTGCACAATGAAAAGCAATCAAAATTAGTTTCTTAACTTTATAAATAAAGTCTCAAAATTTTGGTAAAGACAACCAAATAATATCAACCTCAAATATAATAAAATAAAATAAAATAAAAAAACAAATTCATCTACCTTCCATAATTTTCTTTCATCCGATGGCACAAGTCAAGGGGCCCATTTTCTTTTACCCCATTGTCAACTGTCATTTCACGCCAACCAAAAACACGACCCCATCTTTAATTACAGCACGCTGTTATCTATTGCTTCAAATTTTTCCTCGAAGCCCGAACACCACGCGCCTGATGCACTGCCCCTACATGGACCATACGCTACAAGGCAGTTTCAAACTAACGGAGGACAGTTTGCCTTCTGCAATTGGACAGTTGGCGAACGCTCCCCAAACAATCGCGTGAATCACGCTACAACCTCTCCCGGCAAAAAAACACAAATATTATAGCACAAATCTCGAGCAACAGGCCAAAGAGCAAGACGGTGAAGTTGCTGCTGCTTCTACTGCTTTATAAATATTATATATGCATTTGTGTTGGTGGGTTTGCTTTGATAAATAGTGAGAGGAAGAAAAAAAGTTGTCTATCTCTGTGCAACGGCTACTTTGGTGTTGTTGAAGAAGTGAAGACTGAGAGATACAAAAAAGAGGCTGTGATTTGGGTTCAGTTTTGAAGGGAAAGCAGTAGAAATGGATTACAACAATGATCAGTAAATTTCTTTCTCTCTTTCCTGTCTTTGCGTTTTAAAATGCATGTTTCTCTGATGGTTTTGCTTTTTCTTTTTTCATTTTTGGCTTTTATCATAATTTATTTGCATTTTTGGGGATGAATGCTGGGTTTTCTCAAATGGGTTTTTGCTTCACTTTGAGTTTCTTTTATGGATTCTATGCTACATTTGTGAAATGGGTTTGCTTGGATTTTTTTCCTCTAATTTTTGAAGTGGGGATATGTTGGATTTGTATTTTGAACTGTAACTGAAATGGTAAATTGAGGGAGTGAAGTTGTGGGCTCTGAATGAAACGGAGGGTCACTGTGTTTTAATTTTTTTTTCCTTTTTATGCTTTTTGATTAGCATAAAAATCCATGCTGAAAAACATATAGATTATGATCTCCTTTCCTTGTTGCTAGATCCAAATGGTACAGGTGTCCTTTTTATTTTCGACATGTGATGTTTGTTTGGCTCACTATTATTGGATCCAATGCTTCAATTTTGCTTTTTTTTTGCTTTACTTGTGATGTGGAAATGTTTACTGTTTGCTGTCATTCATCTGGATAATATTCCATTGCCTTTTCCCCCTTATATCTATGTAGTTTTATGTATTGTGTTGGTGATTTAATTCCTAACTTATTTGTTGAAACCCTATTTAAGATGTTGCTTAGTGCTGGTAAAATGTAGCATGGATTCCATTTTTAGGTAAATCTTTGGATAATTCATTGTGAAATCAATCTTCATTGGCTCTTTGCTTTGGACTGAATACTGTATTTTTTTTTTTTTTTGTTTATTGTTGACTGGTAGCAGGGAGCCTTGGAATTGGCATGGGGAGAATGGTGTTCAAAAGAACTCCAATTTTGGTAAGTTACTATCTCATATGATGACTTATTTCTAGCCAGTATATTTGAAGTAGTCAAGTGAGTGAAAAGATTTTGGAAAATACGATAAGTGATGTCTGAATAACATCTGAACAGATACCTCCCAAGATGTATGGACTCAAGTGACCTTGAACGAGGAGGACCTTTCCTACATGTTTGATGAAACAACCCCTGTAAAGGAATGTGGGGATCTGTCATACCATGTTAGTCATAATGGTAAGCTTTGTTCCTTGATATTCCTTGAAAATTTCTTTTCTTTATAACATCTCTTCTGCTCTTTCCTTTAAAAGTAATAAGATTGTGAACTTCAGATAATATAAGCAAGGAACCAGAGGATAAGAAGGAGACATCTTCACAAGTTAAAAGGCGTAGAATGCTTCAATTTGACACTCATGCAGTAGATTCTTCCCTTGTCTGTGAAGAGATGCCATCTGCATTCCTAAAATCAAGGGTGAGTGCTAGATAACATTTTTATTCCTGAGAACATGAAGGAAGCATGCCATTTTTTTCCAACCTGCTATCTTTCTACTTTGTTTTGAAAATTTGACATGGATTCATAGGCTAGATGTGGAACCTGATGTTCAAAAACATATCTGTTAATCATTAGTCATTTTATATTGCCGAGAAGGAAAACACTATCATCCACATCATTTTGTGCATCAATCTGCAACTTGTTTGTATTAGGCAACCTTGTGTAGTATGTCTTCTGTCTAGAGGTTGCTGATAGTTTCAAAACTTTATCTTTTCTATAATTTATTCATTATTTATAACAAGTTCTGGAGTTCTGCTGGTCTGAAAAATATGCTTGTTGGATCTATGTCCAGTTACTTTCTCATGACATGCAATCAACGCTTTTGAATATTGATATTGATTTAAGCTTTACACGTACCATGGTTCTTACCATATTTTTGTTTATTTGCTTCTTCTTTCCATGCTTAGGAGAGGGATGATTCAATTGAAGAGGTATTACCTGATGCATCTCAGTGGGTTGCTGGATTTTCAGGTTTCTCTTGCAAGTCTATTTCCGTACAAATAATAATTAACTTGAATCAAATGAGTACTTGGGCTTTTAATTAGAACAAAATATTGCAGAAGATGCATCAGCTTTCTGTTATGAGGGCCTAGATCAGTCGTGTGAAGGGTGGCTTGCTGAATATTTTAATGATGCAGAGATGCTACGTAGTTCTGATGATATGTATGCTTCTATGGACTTTCAATGTTTATGTTTGATTGTGATATTAATATATTCTGATTGCTGTGTAATGTGAGATTCAGGAATCTTACTGGGGCATCTGATGTTCAAATTGATATTTCAGGTATACGAGTCCTTTTATTCTGAAGAAAATGTACTTTACTCTGTTGTTATCTTCATTTTTTAGTTTCAAAATGTCTTCTGTTTCATTGTTCAATCATTCTCTCTCTCTCTAAGTCAAACATTATCTTAACTTAATGTGAAACTTGATTTTCTGTTCCTAGAGTTGTGCAATGCCCAACCTGAGTCCGGGCTTGATGCTGTTCAAAAGCAGGTGAATGGGACTCATCGAAATGTTATTTTCAAAGGTAACCTATATATTCTCGTGTCTCTCTTTCTTGTTTATATCTGTTGAATTTTGTTTTCCTTCTGAACTACCATCATTTTAAATTAAAATTTAATTACTCTAACATTAACACTGTCAGATTGGATTTTGTTGCTCATTTAGGTAGGAAGTCTTTCATACGTGCCCCCCCTAAGCTAGCATCATCTGTTGCCTACCCATTTGCTTTCATTAAACCCTGTGGTTTCCATGGGGATGTTACCCTGAAGGATATAAACCAGAGAATACAAACTCCACCACCATCAAAATCGAAACAAAGCAACGAAGATCTCACTGCCGCTTTTCCGACTTCTGCTTTTTCTGGGAAGCCTGTTGTTGGTAAAACTAAAATTCGTACTGAAGGAGGAAAAGGCAGCATCACAATTATGAGAACCAAAGGATAAGTGTTCTTCTGAACATTCTTTTTTGTGGCCCTTTAATCTCCCTCTTGGTTTAATCTGGTGGTCGAGTATCTCAGTATTATTCCTTTGTCTGACAAGTATAGAAGCTGATATTATGTTTTTTGTTGGACGTCTTGGAATTCATAATACACATCAAAGTGTTTATGTTTCCGAGTAGTATTCTAGGTGTCAAATAGTTGTTATATGTGGTGGCTTTTTTTTAGGCTATAAATGGAAGTCATGATGTCTGAGATCAATCTATTTTCTTATTGGTTTCAGAAAAAACCTAATTAATGCTTTTACTAACATGCAGAACTTTTGTATTTTGCATATTGTGGAAGCATAAGCTTGTCCGGTTGAACCTCTCTCTTTCTCTCTAAGTCAATGGAAACATAAATGTATTGCTGTGTAAATGTTCATTAGCATAAACTTTTATGTTGTCTGACAGACATCTTTGTCTAATTCAAATCTCTGCTTAACCTATATTTGGTTTGATTTATTGTATTGCTGCCTTTGCTTGATATTATATTTGGATCAATGGGGTGATTGAATTCAAGTTTTGTGAAACAGTAGATAGTTATTTGTCCGGTGTTGATGCTCAATTACTCATTTCTCAGAAGGATTTTGGAGTTCCTAATTCCAACATAAATAAAATTTATTTATTCTTTTCCTTCTAGCCAAATTCATTATCATCTTGATGAAGTACCATAAAAGGAATCTTAGCATTTTACTGAAGTCCTTTTTGGTTATAGTTACACAACACTAGCATTCTAGGTGTCTTTACACCAGGTTAAGCTTCAATACCAATCTTGGAGATAATGGTAACTCTATACAAAATTTCAGCATGAATGATCAGATAGGATTTTTCATTCATGCATCATTCACTTAATTTCTTATCACAAGGAAAAATTCAATGAAACAATGTCAGTGTCTTGATCCGTTTTCTTTATGGTTTAATGTTACGAATGATTCTTAAATTATAATGAAATGTTTTTTGTGGTACCTAACTTTTAAAAATCTTTAATATGGTATTGAACTATTAATCTATTAACTAATATGATAGTTAGAATATGTTTGTCTGTCATGTCATCATTTGAAGTTAGTAACGTTAGAGGTGAGTATCTCAGTAGTTAACAGATTCATGATTCAAGTGTCATATTAAAGAATTCTAAAATTCAAGTAATACATTGAATATTTTATTATAATTTATTGGTCATTCATGACATTAACCCTTTCTTTATTAAGCTTTAACCTTTCTAGTTTTTTTTTTTTTTTGGTCACAGCCCTTTGTAGTTTAAGAGATTTGCCCACCCTGTTGAGCGAGTTATAACCTGCTTCTGTTGACTTCTCGAGTTGTGCATGTTGTTTTCCTTACCCCTTATAACTAGCCAAGTGATTGCTTGGTAGTTGGTACTAAAGCCGAAAGGCTACCAAGTTTTTATTTTTGCGTAGAAAGAGAGTGGTCTCCACAGTAATGGGAAATCATGGTTCATTAATGCACTCGTGGCTTCTCTCAGGTAGCAAGTAACTTCTGAGTATGGCTTAAGCTTTTATTAATATTATATTTTTTCTTGGTTCTGGTTGAAATTGATTCTGAGGCAGGTTGCTGTGGCTTACAACCTCTGTCCCACCTCATTAAACATAGCAAAGTGGCTTTTCTAAACAGTCATGTTTCCATGCCTGTTGATCCAATGATGATGGCTGTCAAGTTTATCATCTATGAAGGTTTTTTTTTTTCTCCAAAATCTACAAACACTAAAACCTATCTCTCACACTCTGAAAATGAATCAAAACTTGATTCTGTGAATTCCTGTTGTTACCATTGAGAGAATCTTACATTCGGAAACAAAAACCAACCAACCCCATCCCTGATTCACCCTCCTGGTCTTTTTCAACAGTTACAAAGCCAGAGACAGCTTTGCTTTTCACCCAACCGTTTCTTTTCAAGACATAATCATCAGGCCCACTGGTCCATACCATTCCACATTTTCTTCTTTACCTCCATTCATTTTGGAACATACAGACAATAAAAAAAATATTATTACCATCAACCAATTCACCTCTGTCTTATCAACAGATGTTATCTTAGCTCCAAGAAACATAAATTCCCTATACAATTTCCAGGGTAAGAAAAGGAAAAGAGAACCCTGGGTCTGGGTCATGGCCATGAATCAGGAAAGTAAAGTTGTCAACCACTTTGCAATGATAGCCATTCATTAAAACCAAACAAAAATTGGAGGAAAAAGAAAGAAACTGAGAAGAAGAAAAGAACCATTGTTTGCACAATTTCTTCACAATCACAGATGGGAGATAATTTTAAACTACTGGTTTTGAAAAAGAATTACTAAAATTAAAGAGAAGAAGAAGAAGCAAGAATTAGAAAAACGATATCAAAAGATATCAAGAATTTCCAAGATGAAGCCATTGCAAAGTGGGCAGCTCCCTCGCTGAACCCAAAGCTCCCTTGAACAGAGCCGACAAAATGTATGCCCACAGGGAATGAACGCCGCACCTTTATGCCTGATCATGCACACGCAACACGTGTACTCGATACCACGGCTCGCTTCGATTACAACTATTTCTTTTTCTTCCTCCTTGTAATAGTCATCGTCGTCGCCCACTGTGTATCTCGATCCTGAAAGCCCCATTTGACGGTCTGTTTCCTCCAATAAATCCATCAATGACATCCTCACCGGCTCCTCAGCCGCAACAGTTGGTGGCGGAGAATTGTTCTCTGCCGCTTCCTCTGCTTCCTGTGCCGCCACTGCTTCTCTCGCAGACAATGCCCTCTCCTCCTCCAATGCTGCTCTCAGTCGGCGCGGTCGCTCAAGCGCCATGGGAGAGTCGTCGTCGCTGCTGTCAGTTTCGTTACCGGCGGTGTTCGAAGAAGGAGAATGAGTCGAATGATGGCGAGTATTTGATGGCCTGAAGCTTCTCGACGGAGCATCGCCCGGCATGCTGACATCAACCGAATCATCGTGATCGGTCTGACTCGGGTTATGCCCGAAACGAACCGAATCCCTCCGCGCCAATTGCAACCGAGAGTTCACAACCGGCGGGTCAGAAACCAGGGCACCTTCACCTCCATCCCCACCTCGAGTCGAGTCAACCGAGTTAGAACGAAACGAACCGCGCCGCAAGAACTGGGATCCGTCACCATGAACATTAACATCGGAAGCCGGATAGTAACCGAGGAAGTCCAAGCAGAGACGGATCGCTTGAGCCGGAGCTTATCTCGAAGCGTTTTCCAACTCTTCTTGTCCTTGTTGGACCCATCGTCTCGTATAATATCCAGAAGCGTACGATTCTGAGTCGGCGGTGGTTCAGTCCGTTTAACGTTTCCCAAAACGGCTTCGAGAGTTAAACCAGCCAGAGTGTTCCGGCCGTTGTCAACCGCTGACATCTGCTCAAAAAGCGTAAGCCTCCGGTTACTACTTTCCATTGCATTCAGTTAAAAAACAAAAAAGAACGAACTTGTTCAGAATTAGTAATATAAAAAAAAAAAAATTTATCGCCAAAATGAAGGCCTCGAATACAGAGAAAGTTCTTAGATTTCCTGGAAATGAAAGGCGAAGAAAAAAAAAGGGGTAACGAGGGAATAAAGAAACCGAAATTAAAAGTGGAAATCATATTATAAAATAAATAAATAAATAAAATTAATAAATTATTGATTCAAATGGTAAAAATTTATCATTTTCGATGAAAAATTTTGATTCGAATTTTTGGTGATCATTTATTGAATGTACGACTCTCAACATTTATTTCGAATTTTTTTTTATAAATATAAGTGAATAATTTATAAACGGCAGATACCTTAGTATTTGCGTGGCAGTTTGTCGGTATGTACAGAAGAACTCAGGGCTAGCACTAAAAAGGGCTTTCCTTTTGTCCAAACAAATGGTCTTTCTCTCTTTGCTTTGCCCTTTTATGTTTCTGTTTCTGTCTCTGTCAATTTCTGGTTTTGTTTTTCTTTTCTTCAACGGAGGGAGAGAGAAAGAGAGAAACAAGAGAGAGTTTGGACACATGATTAAGGGTAAATTGAGTTGAGTTAAATCAATATAGTGAGAAGTTTAAATTTCACTCACAACTCGTAATTTGATATTCGATTCGAATTTGATTGAGTTTTATTTTTTAATTAGAGTTTAATTTGTGATCGAAATTAAGTTACTCGAATTCGTTCGATTAAGTTCGATTAATATGTAAAAATAAGCTCGATTCGTATATTCGATAAGAGTTTGATTATTTATACTCAAATTTGAACTCGAATTTAAAATATTTTATTAATTAAAATAATAAAAATATATTTAAATATAAAAATTCGATTAAATTTACGAGTTACTCGAATTGAATATAAAAATATTTAAATTTGATTCAATTGATAAATCGAGTTACTCGAAATCAAATTCGATTCGATAATAATAGAATCGAATTCGAATAATTTATAAGTATTAATATATCATTTACACATTTATACATGACCGAATCCGAAGGCAATCACGAGGGCCTTTCATTTACTTTCCTTGCTTCCCGGAAACTAAAGGCAACTGTAATTTTACTAATAAATCCCTACTTTCGTTTTTTCTTTTTGCAAATTCGCGCCGTTGTTTATGTTAATGCGTGGTTTATTTGTTTATTAAGAAAATTATTTAATACATAATCCATTATATTTTTATGTTTTATCTGATAAAATAAATGTTATATATTATTTTAATTATTTATTATTTTTAATTTCAAAATACATTTTACTAAAATACAAGTATAAATAAAAAATAAGTTTTAAGACTAGATCAATATATAAATGAAAATTATTAAGCATAAGTTGACTAGACACGATATGTTATCTTATATAATTATTTTATATTATATTTAATTTATACCTAAAAAGTAAATAAGATCTAATAAAAAATGAATAAAATTATAAAAAAATTATTATCTTTTTAATATAAAATGATTTAAAAAAAGTATTTTTAATCTATGAATTGAATTTAAATATCTTATTATATATTTAAATTACATTAATAATTTAAATTATATAAATTATAAAAATGATAATTTTAATTAATAAATAAATTATTTTATTTTTACACATATTAAATATAAAATAAAATAATATTACTTAATTTAATTTAATTTTATTATAATTAATATAAAATAAAATAATTTTATTTAATCTAATTTTATTTTATTATAATTTTATGCAGTAGGCATATTTGAAACGCTTAGTGGACCATTATTAGATAAATTTTTGTTACAAGAACAGATAAAAGTAAGCCCAACATTAAAGGCCCAAATCCAAAACTCAACATCGAAGGAGAGGCGGTCAAAAAAAAGTATTTAAAATCGGACGGTGAAGAAGAGAGTACTCCCTAAAGCGGAATCCATTTTTCCACAAATCAAATGGCTGGAAATTGACATCCAGCTATATATTTATTTATTTATTATCCTGAGTCCACGTCTTCTTTCTTCCTCACAAAATTTTCCAATTCCCTAATTCCACTTGGCTCAATCAAGGGTATTATTTCTTTCTCATTCTCTCAAATAATTCACTTATTTACCCTTATTTTGTTTTAATTGTTTGATTGATTATTCCTCTTTGAAATTTTCAGGGCTCAACTTTCGCTGATCGTTGTTTGGTTTCCGAGAATCAACAATGACTCATATCCTTTTAATTTGTTTGATTAATGAATAATTCGTAACTTTTTTGGGCTTAATTTTTTTTAAAAAAAGTGGGGTATTTTTATTTTTGTTAATTCTTTAATTTAAGATAACGTGGTAACCAGAGAGATCGAGATCGAGAAAGGGCTCAAGCCAGATCAGGCAACAAAGGCAAGAACACTAAGGACGATGGGTTAACACCTGAACAACGCCGTGAAAGGTTTCTTCTCTTTCTCCTTTTTTTTTTTTTAATTCTCTTAATTTTTTAAAATTCAATCTAATTTTATTTTTATTCTTTTCCGTCTGATTTTGGGAATTGTGTCTTTTTTGAATGGGCAGAGACGCAAAGGCCTTGCAGGAAAAGGCGGCAAAGAAGGCGGCGCAGAAGGAGGCTGGAGGGAACAATGTCGGCGGTGGTGGTGGAAGTAAAAACAAGAAATAATCATGTAATGATGGTGAGATGATTTAGGGTGGAGGGTAAAGATAGTGTTATAATATGTTGATTGGGGAATCAGATCTTTTGTTTTGGCTTTTATAGTCTTTGCCTGTGTCGTTTTAAGGTTAACAAACTCTTGGGGTGTTTGTTTAATTGACATTGATGTTGACTCTTAGATGCTCTATCTGATTTGGACTGGATTGATTTCCTATGTAACATTCTACAATCTATGCCTTTGACTTTTTTAAACTGTAATTGTCGATTCCTCATTGATAAAACCCCTTTGGTTTTTGATTATCTTGTCAGTTTGACTGTTGTCCCTTTTATTGCCATAGTGCTGATGTGAATTTCTAATGGTAGGCATTGAGGCTGGGTTTTATGTTACAGTTGTTTGTGTGTTACTATAAACTAGTGTTCTTATGGTGAAATGATGAATAAATGCTTTGTAATTTCTGCTGGATTATGGTTCGTAAACTGTTTTTATGACAGTGAACTGATTAATGTTGTTTTGGAGAGTAAAAGCTTCTGTATTTAATACCATTTAACTTGCGTGCTGGTTCACGTAAGTAAAACGTATCTCCTTGCACTTTATTTTGAAGTTTGACTCTGCTTTCTCAAGCTGTTTTTATGATGGCTACCATGTTAAGTATCACCTTGTTCAAGATTAAGTTGAGTTTGAGCCTTGGTCATAAACTGCAAGATTGATGAGAAATAAATATCTGTATCACAAGTTTGTGTTTTTCAAGCATCTAATGCCCTTGGTTTTCATTATCTGATTCTTCCCTCAAATACTATTTCCTACTTTAGCTGTATGATTCTGTCATTGCTCTTCTTGCATTTGTTGTTACTATTGTATAAACCTGTAATCCCTGACAAACGCCATCCATGTTTTGATAAACTTGAGCAGCTATTGGGTAATGAAGATGAATCCCTGACAAACGCCTTCCAAGTCTTGATAAACTTGAGCAGCTACTGGGTAATGAAGATGACTATCTTAGCATATGCATTTGCAAGTGGTCATCTGAGCTTTTTGTGTTTGTGCTTTATCCAAGTACGTTTGTCTAGGTGCTGGGATCATATACTTGTTGGCTTGTGGAGTTGGTGGTCCTTAATTTTATCATGATGAGCTAAAATTTCAGTGTTTGGTGCAGGGCAGAGTGAGCTACTTTTATAATGTCTAGACTAGATTTCCTTTGACAATCCTGTGTATCTATTTTATGTGGTTTTTTGGATACCAATTGCTTGCTTGTGGCGATCATTTTGGCGTGATTGGATCTATTGATGATTAGGGCTTTTAGTTATACCTATTAGATGTCACAAGGTCAATCAGAGTTTCACAATTTGCTCTTATTCGGCCCGGAAGGACAAGTTTCGTTGACTTTTTCATTCACCGATCAACTCCATGACAAATTTCTGAAACTTCTTCCACAACAGTTATTAATTTTTGTAACTATTGATTCAGCGACAAAAAGGAGTTGCAGTTAAAGTTCCTTTCGGAAAAAGGGGAAGAAAATCCAATCTTCAGTTTTATTATGTTCTAATCTATTTTTAACCAAGTCTCTCCTATTTGTCACAATTTACATGCTTCCCTCATTTCCTCCATAAGCATGTGCAGGAAAATTCTAATCACTTTATTCTTACTCTGCCATTTGAGTCCTTCCGTTTTCTGATTCTAAATCATTGGAGTTGTCTTCGGTATCAGTTGTGGCTTGTTCAACATTCAGTGGATTGCCCAGCTGTTTAGAATTTAACTGTGTTTCGAATGGCCTCTGGCTACTTGCCTCCTGTTCTCTGACGGTGAATTCATCTGCGGATTGTTGCTATCTGGGCCCTCTGTAAGGTAATGAAAGGCATGTGTAAGCACATATGTTTCGAAGTGTTGGATTGTTATGATAGATATCGTGTAATAAAAATTTCTGTAGCCACAATGTCGCACTTACTAGGCCATGGTGTTCTACTTCTACATGGGTCAAAGAGAAGGGTTTAGGAACCGACACTTTCTATAGGTAATTGTTGGCAACGAGAAAGTTTTCTTTCAGAAAATCTGTTCCCACATTTAAAAGAAATTGAGCCAGATAATCACTAGCCCCATTTTTGTAGCGATTTGAACCAGGCAGGACCATTCTCACACAGAAAGACTTACCAAGCAATGGAGTCATAGTTATCTCCTGTCTCCTAGCAGCCGCTTGACTTGATTCCAAAGTCTTTTGTTCTGGAATTGGCATTGCAGAGGGTGAGGATGCCATCGGCTGCTTACTTCTGGATGAATCTAACAGGGCAGCTGAAAAATGAAATTGGCAATAAGAACTCCGTTAATTAATAAGACATTAAAGACAGAGGTATTTGGGCATACCAACTCCCAGGTTGCTTCCATGGATGCCTGCGGAATATGGAGTTGGGACCTCCCTTTGTTGCAAAGAAACTACTTGAGCCTCTCTTTGTGGTCCTTGTGGTTGCACTTGCCTTTCATTTGGAACCCAGGTCCAATATGAACTTGGAACAACTGTGAGAAAAAAAAAAAATTGGTTCCATAGATTTAGACTTGAGGAACAACGTTTTATGTCACATCAACAAGAGACGTTATTGGCACAAACCAGCAGAGGTGAAGTTTTGAGGATTGTATGTATGGTATTGAGCAGGAATTTGGTGTGAAGGGAAAACAGCTTGGGTGTCAGGTGGTGATAAAGTTGAAGTATACACCCATTGATATGGATTCACCCATATACTTGGCCGTGGCTGCATGCCTGGTTAATAGAAAAAATATATTAAATATTAATATAACAGCTTTATATGGCAGAGGAAGAGAAATTTGTTAACCGACCAATATCGTAGGTGAAAATTGTTTGTTGATTGACCAGTGCTGAATTTAGATGAGGAAATGGTGGTTGGACTTGTCCTGATGGTTGTCCTCCTATCACCCTTGGCATCGAACGTGCTCTGGCAGATGAACTTGAAGGATATTGACGTTGATAATCTCTATTAATAGCAGCCGAGGATGATGCAAATACGCGGTCAGAATTAGTCATCCTTGCAGGATGGCCTTGGAAGCTTGTTGAAATGGGACCTGACAACCTCTCTTGATCTAAAGTTTGAAGAGTAATATTTGGAGGTGAAGCCTTCTCTGAAGCCAAAAAGAAGGCATCGCAGTAAGGGCAAAAAATATGGGATTTTATGAACGTCTTATCGCATTCGAACTCTTTCTTGCATACAGGGCAAACAGTCATACAAAAAGGTGAGTTTGCAGCAGAAGGGGTGGGGATAAAGGTTACACCAGCCATTGATCCCCGAGTCCCAGAGTTTGAGATTGCAGTATTGCTAGAGCTGTTAGAGCCAGTGGCTTGAAACCCTATTAGAACAGAAGGCATTGTTGCAGATGAACTCAGTGCAGATGAACAAAAGCTTGATTTGCATGGAATAATATTTGCAGCATGATCTACTGAATCTATGCAGCTGCTAATATTTGGAGGTACAGCCTTTTCTGAAGCCAAAAAGATGTCATTGCAGTAAGGGCATAAAACATAAAAGCTCATATACATCCTAGGGCATTCGAACTCTTTCTTGCATACAGTGCAACCAGTCCTACATGAAGGTGGGTTTCTAGCAGAAGGGGTAGTAACGAAGTTCAGATCACCCATTGATCCCTGAGTCCCGGAGTTTGAGCTTGCACTACTGCTAGAACTGTTACAGCCAGGCGCTAGTGTTAACTCTTCAAAGTAGTCTAAAGCTGGTTCTTTCCCATTGCCTTCCCCCACCCCTTTATCTTCTCCTTGATCGTTACCAGCCATTGATCCTTGTAATCTTGCTTGAAATGATGCTTGAAAACTATATAAAAGTAGCCAAATAAAAAAGATCAAGAATTTTATCGACCAAGAATAGAAACCAAATGATTCTTTTAACCAAGAAATGAAAACAAGTATGAAAATTTTTTTTTACAGGGTATAACTTGATAAACCAAGTAGTACAGAACAAAGTAGATTGTCAAAACAAAAAAAATTTCAGAGTCCAGCAGATAAAGAAATGGTGCAAACCTTCTTTTACTTCTATGGTGAACTAGAAAATAAACCCAAAGAAGATGAAGGAAAACTGAAACTTTCGTTTGGTTTTTGTTTTTTTGGTATTATTTTTGTGTTTTGCATTCTTGTTTTCATGCAAATTGCATCAGTAAGATGTAAAAAAACAAAAACTAAAATCGAGAGAGATAATTGCTTTCTCAATAAACCAAGTTTGTATAGAACTAGAGAGTGAAAAAGATCAAACCAAAAAAAAAATCAGAACTAACATTTCGTTCAGAGAAAAAACGTGAGGAGTCTAAGAACCAAAAACTTACATATTTTCCACTAAAACAAGAAAAGAAACACACAACAGATGAAGAACAACTGAAAATCCTTCACAAAGACAAGAAAACTGAAGAGACTTTAATATATCAAAGCCGTCTTACAAAGAGAGAGCTTGTGCCAACTTGCCAAGGATGAAAAGAGTGTAACCGAATTAACTAACTTATATAAAAGAACGTGCCCAGTGATTGTACGGTAAGTCCTTTTTTTTTTTTTTCCTTTTTCAGTTTCGTTTGGTAAATGGTAAGGATTTCAGGTAAAAAGAAAAATGCAAACTACTGACTATATCTGTTTGATACTTCCCATCTCTCTCTCCTTTTACCATGCATGTATTTTTTACTATGTATGAAAATTCCTAGCTAAAAGAAGCATCTCATTTCTCCCCCTAGCTAGAAGACAAAAATTCCTTCCACTTTGTCATCTTTTTACATAATTTGTTGAACTTTTTACTAATTCCATGGTTTATCGGTGTTGATATGTTTTGTGGTAGGATGATTGGATGCTTGTCGGAAGGTTGGTTGGACGGTTGCTTTTGGCAACCGAGATGATCTCTCATAAAGAGAATGGTTAGAAGGCCTCGTTGGTAAGACTTTGAGACGCTCTCGTATGATCAAGTTAGCAATGTATGGGAGATGAGAGAAGGAAGACGAGGAGAGAGAGTCGGTCAGGGAAAATATAAAAATAATGCAGGGTATAGAATAAATTATTTATGATCCGATCTTAACTTTTTATACTCCGTTTATGCTGACCTGACCGGTTGATTCATCCAATATAAGCCAATTGTTAATATTTGTTGACTTTTACATTGACTTATCAACTCCATTACAAATTTCTGAAGCTTCTTCCACAACAGTTGTTAACATTCGTAACTATTGATTCAGAAGCAAAAAGAACTTGCAGTTAAAGATCTCTATCCCGGAAAAAGGGGAGAAAATCCAATCTTCAGTTTTATTATGTTCTAATCTATTTTCAACCAAGTCTCTCTTATTTGTCACAATTTACATGCTCCCCTCATTTCCTCCATGAGCATGTGCAAGAAAATTCTGATATGACTCTATTCTTACTCTGCCATTTGGGTTCTTCCGTTTTCTGAGTCGAAATCTCCGGAGTTGTCTTTGGTATCAGTTGTGGCTTGTTCAACATTCAGTGGATTGCCAAACTGTTCAGAACTTAACTGTGTTTCGAATGGTCTCTGGCTACCTGCCTCCTGTTCTCTGATGGTGAATTCATCTGCTCGTTGGGTGGTTGATGGATTGTAGCTATCAGTGCTTTCTACTGGAGTCATCTTCTCGTCCTTCAACGGCGGATTGTTGACATCTGGGCCTTCTGTAAGGTAATGGAAGGCATATGTAAGCGCATATGTTTCAAAGTGTTAGATTGTTATAATAATATCGTGTAATAAAAGTTTATGTAGCCGCAATGTTGGACTTACTAGACCATGTTGTTCTACTTATACATGGGTCAAAGAAAAGTGTTAGGAAATGACACTTTTTATATTTAATTGTTGGCAACTAGAAAATTTTCTTTCAGAAAATCTGTTGCAACATTTAAAAGAAATTGAACCAGATAATTACTAGCCTTAGTTTTATAGCGGTTTGAACTAGGCAGGACCATTCTCATACAGAAAGACTTACCAAGCAATGGAGTCATAGTTATCTCCTGTATCCTAGCAGCCGCTTGATCTTCTTGAACGATT